AAAGGATATCCATACTGATATTAACTAGTAACAGCTCTCAAATCCTACAATGCTGTCAAAGTTAAGTTTTTATAAAAATAGGTGATACTATGTTTAACTATAATAAGCCAGTGTTGTGGACAATCTATTGAAAATAACAAGAGAAAACATAGTAACTACGGAAGATCATCTATATTGTGGTCTTATATGTCTTATCCATTGCATGTTTTTCTAGGAAATTGTTTTGCTGTCTTGCTATGACTTGGTTTTCCCTATAATACAGAGAGGACAGATATATATGTAGAAATTCACATATGGGTTTTTAAAAAAATTATTTACGGGAACAGATTATATAATGCAAGATGTAATGAACAGATACTCTGAGGAAGAGATGCTAAGAAACCCGAGCCTAATTTTATAGCATTATGATATAAATTCTAGCAATACTATTGTTCGCTGATTAGAATGACATTGGACTGGTTTCTTGAGTTCAATTTCAGCATATGTAGAGATGGGGACAGCTATCACAAAGAGAATGAGAGATGCGATGGTAGTTATTATTGTCTTCCCTAATTTGGAACTTGAGGACCTAAAAAGCCTTCAGCATCCTGTAATGATTTGATTAGTTCTATAATATGCAATAAGTCTATAAAGTGGGTGAAGATGGGGACAACTATTTGTAAGAAACTAGAGACAGTTAGATAGACAGTGAAGATCTCCAGTGGACTTGCTTTGAAATCTGTATTTCTTTAAATTGTTTTTAAAAATGTTTTGTTCTGTTTTGATATGTTTAATCTTACCCTCTTTGAGATGTAAAACAAATGTGTAGGACTGATAACCATATTACTGAGCTTTTGTTCGATCATAGAGCAGAATGGTTTGTAGTGTCACTTTTTGAATGTCATTCTAAATACTTTAATTCTATAACCTGAACAGCTATTTCTAAGATGACAATGTGTAACTTATCAACGAGCAATTTCTTACTGTTTGTTTTCTGTAATTTTGTATTATTTCTACCCTTTTTTAAATCTCCATGTATTTTTTTGTTTCCTTTTCTTTAAATAAAAAAAAAAAATTTTTTTTTTTTTAAATTTTGAGATAGTCTCAATAAACTGCTAACTTGCCCAAACTGGGCCGAACTTGTAGTCTTCCTGCCTTTAGTGTTGAGCTTAGGAGTGTTGATACCATACCTGACTTCATACAGTCTTAAGACAGTAGCTGTGAAGTGTTTTAGTGCTATGACTTCTTTGTACTTTTAAGACTGAGGGCCAGGGCATGGCGGCACACACCTATAATCCCAGCACTCAGGAGGCTGAACCAGGAGAATCACCATGAGTTTGAGGCCAACTTGGACTACACAGTGAGTCCAAAGCCAGAACTACATAGTGAGATCCAGTCTCAATTCCACCCTTAAAAACACTGAGGATTCCAAAGAGCTTCTTAGTGTATTGGTAATAGCTATTTAAAGCATTAAATCATTAAAATAAAGATAAGGTCATTACATGTTAACATAAATTTCTTTTTCTTTTCTTTTTTTTGGTACTGGGAACTGAATTCGGGGCCTTATGTATCTAGGTAAGCAGTATGCCACTAAGGTACATCTCAGCCCATCAATGACTTTCTTAAAACAAAAACTAAGTATATTTTCCAAGGCAAATAACTAAAAAGTTAATGCAAGTGTAACAATGTTTTACATTTTTGCAAGTGTCTTTAATATCTGGCTTAATCAAAGACCACTAGTCTCAAACCTGTTTCTGCATTTGACCTGTGTTGATGTTCTGGTTGAAGGAGATGAAGAAAACTGGCTTCAGACAAATACGGAGTCAGAAAAAAAATTTTTTTAAGTAGTTTTTTTTCAGATAATTATGGACATTTCTTTTGGTACTATATAAAAACTCGACTAAGGCTAATTTCATGAAAAATCTAAAACCTATCAATAAAATTTTATACTGTTAAAATTCAGTTTCACTGGTGCACATTCTACTTTAAGAAACTCTTTGCCACACATGACTTTTAACATTCACTGGTTACCCAGAAAATAGGGATTAACAGAGTTATGTAGCTCTTCAGAATATTGATGCAATACACAATGCTGAATAATCATTTTGGTTATTATCAGAAAAGTCTGTAAGTCATGTGAAGTCATGGTGGCAAGCATGAGCTTTTCAGTATTTTAACTTTTATGTGAAAGCCTGAATTTTATCCCTGGCCAGAAAGTATGGCCCACTGTTTTCCCTGAAGCCAGATGCTCAGCAAGATTCATTGCTGAGAAAGTGCATGTGAAATACCCAAGTCTGAATGACTGGTTTTGTCAGTTATTTTTTGATGCACAAAAGATGTTCCATAAAAAAGTGGCAATTTCAGTTTGCAGCTTAAATGACTGCCTAACTGCTTTATGCATTCTTTTTTCATCACACATAACATAAAAAAGCCACTAAATAATGGTTGTTTGATAGAATTAATAGTATTTTTTATTTTCATCACGAATGTTTGTAAGAAAAGCTAGGGTTTGCCCCTGCTGCTATGGTGGGTAAGAATCCAATACTGGTAGAATAATTTGGGGCTACCACTTGATCCATGCTAAGCCACCAGAAGTTTGCCCCATGCTGTTACCCTGTCAGTGTAAACGCGAGCACATGAACATTTAGCATTGCTCTAAAAATAGTTACTTCTGTGCAGACCTCTGAACAGAGCCTTGGCCATCCCGCGGGAGCCACTAGTCCACAGTAAACTCTCATGCTTTCTTTTAGCAGATACTGGACACCTCCACATGAGGAAATTTGACCACAATGACCCAAGTCAACAGGTCTGAGCTTCCCCCGACTTTTGAAAGGGCTCTCTCCTTACATGAAAACAGCAGTCTTTCGGTCTAGAATAATGACTGTATCTACCTGCTCTAGCTCCGGTCCTTTGCTTTCTTGACCATGGAATGATTAGGTATTTGGCATGCTGCAAAATGTCACCTCTTAGGAGTTACCTGTGAGTATAAACTCTAACATCTTAGTCTCATCAGGGCAGTTAAACAGTACTGGTCACCTCACCAGCGCAAGGCCTGTCAGGATTCAGTCCCAGCAATCTACGTGGCTTTGTTGCTGCCTGTCCAACGTAAGTGCTTAGTCAGGGGAATCTTCTCAGTAGTTGCCAAACATATGCTCACATTCATCCCTGGCTCCAAATGTCTTCAGTCTTATTTTCTGCCCACACCATTTGCCACACCCAAGCTTGCAGGCTGAGTTTCATGGGATTTTTCCTGCATACTTTTTCTTGCATTATTTCAATTTTTCATACATTTATTATGTAAATGGAATCTGCTTCATCATACATACATCACACCAAGCAGCCAATAATGCTGCGTATAGGCTAAAGTTTCTAACTTTACCCAAGGGAATACAACAAAATCAGGGGGCTCTCTTTGAATTGGTAAGACTTCCTGTAAGGAATGAAACTCCTGATGGTGTTGATATTACCTCTTTAACTAGCCCCTATGTCACTTTAATCCAGAGGGCAATCATACATGCGTGTGAGTGCACACACACACACACACACATTATTTTTCTATTAACTCCTCAGTCTTATACTGGCTCTCAATAAATGCGTATTGTATGAATATAAACTTACACAATTATAACACAACTAAGAAAAATTAATTTTTGGAAGATATTTACCAAAACATTTTTATGAACAGGGTAAAAACTTCTTGCTAGCAAGGCACTCAGTATTTCAACTGCCACAAGGCAGCTTTCTGTATTACACAAAGCAGCAGGATATGCCTTTCCAATTCATTTTGAAGGATTTGATGCTAAATACTCATGTTTACAGATTAACTGAAATGTGATTTTGACAGTAACTTGGGAAAAGATCACTGACACCTCTAAAATAGAACATCAATTTACCAACAATCTGCTGTAGAAGCTGTAAGAGGATATTTTCATCAGAAAAACTGCAAAATGGCACACATTCCAGACACTTATCCTGATATCAGCCCACCACAGAAGATTTATGCATATACTAATAAATTAGAGCAACTCTCTACATCATTACTTATAGAATGTCTTTGAGCAGGCTTTACCTAGTAGCCACCAGAATTTAATTAAAATCAGTAATCTCTAATTGAACATCTAGCTACTATTTACAGGAAAAAAGACTAACGTTCATGGTCCAATACAAAAGACATTCACAGTCTAGCCATTTGTTGGCGGCCTTCCTAATAGGCACTGCCTTCCTCTCTTGTCTGGCTAAAGTTAGAACTATCTTAGAAATGTGATCAGGAAAGGTGAACGGTGCTCTCAGTTCCAGGGAAACAGTCCAGCCAATTACGTTCTTCCAGAAAGTTTCCTCCTTGGTAAAAGGAGAGATATGAGGAAAACCACACTCTTCTGTGTTTGAATGCATTTGTGAGAGGAGAGTTCTTGATGTGCAGTCATTATTTGGCAATATGAAGCAAAGGCCTAAGGACTGAAACTTAAAATTGCAAAGGATAATGGGACAGAAAATGAAAAAATCCTGAACCTATGGTATCATTGAGCTATAACACTAACCCTGAAAATGCCTCCTACAAGACTTGTTGCTACATGAATTAGTTCAATGATCTTTTACATAGCCCACTTTTAGAGATGGTTATTGTTTTTTGAAGCTGAATATTTTTGTGTAGATATACTCACAATATTGTAATTTATAATACTGTAAGTGCTATAATAGTTATGCATACACACAAGTAAAAATAAAGACAAACAAATTGCCACAGACACGTGGGAAGAGCTGTTCTAGATAACAAGCGACAGGCATTTAATAGGCAGACTCAGGTGAAAAAGGAATTTTAAGCAAAAGACACTCAGGAGCAGTGGCATGGAGGCATGAACTGTCTGGGAAGAGCTTGTCCATCTTTATACCCCCAGTGTCTAGCATAGCGATGGGCACGTAAGTAGTACTGACAACCCTGATGAATGTCTTGGACAAACCTAGAAAAGCTGGCTAGGGTCACACTGAGACAGGCCTTGTGTACCATCGAAAGGAAACAGTAAAACATTTCATAGACTTTATTTTTGTGTCACCAAGGATCAAACTCAGAGCCTTCTGCTTGACAAACACACACTCTCCCATTGAGTCACATGCCCGACCCATTTCACAAAAACTTTGGAGACAGAAAATTAAGCCACATAGTAGCTCTTTAGTTTTATTTTGCTAGATGACAATGGCTAGGTAGGGATATTTTTCTGATATTACTCTCCATGTTGCCCTTCTTGAGTGGGTTTCCTGTACCAGCACAATCATGAAAAGATGACAAATTATGAAGATCAAGAATACCGACACTTACACTGCTCAAACATAACTTTATTTACTAGTTTACATATTTTAAGTTGTGAGCTAAGACTACTCATAAAAACAGTTGTGGGGTCTGTCTTGTGCAGTATCTTCATGTAGGAATTAGAAAAACTCTTTCTGAACTTCTGCTGGTATTGCTGTTGTTAAGGGGGGTGCTTAAACAAATGTACACTAGGGTTCTAATCCTTCAGGAGTTTTAACACACATGAGGGAAGAACAAATTCAACAAGATGAAACATATGCCCCACCCACAGTGTGGCGAGCATATATAGTAGGTGCTAAAGAAGGCTGGGACAGAGTGATCCTTGAAGTCTGATTTAGGGAGGAGAGAACTTGGATTGAGTACGGTGAAGAATCAGCCAGTAGGTGCCATGGTTAGACGTAAAGACTGAGTGAATCTGCTAAAGACTAACAATGCCACTCAAAACCAAGGACACTTCTTTGTCTAGGAAAACACAAAGCATCTGTTATCTCAGGGTCATGGGTTCAGGCACCACATTGGGTGTCAAATGTTGTAATCCAAATATTGTATCTTATAATCCCTTAAAATATTGTAATCGTTTTTTTAGGGAGGGGTCTACTTCTCAATCTGGAAAGTTATATTTGTAATCCCACTGATACACTATTGGAATTCTGGCAAATTAATTTTAATCTATCAATTCCAGTGAAACCCACAGTGAGAATAAAGACACTACAATATATTTACAGTTATGATTAGTCAGAGGGTCCTGAGTCTGGTCCAGGTGAGGAGTCATGGAACAAAGGTCCTGATCCAAGGCCTCCCCCAGAAGTTATTGTGAAGAAGGGAGTGGTTTAAGGATGAGTAATAGTGAGAATGGCAAGAATTATATGAGCAATGTGAGCTGAGCTGGCCAGGTGGAGTGCAAACACCTCTGCAATATGCAGAGAGAAGGATATGCAGAAAGATCAGTGCGTATAACTCAACTAGGGTAGCATTTGAATGTTATAGGGGGCTGTTGTTTTAGTTTCTGATATGTAAACTTTTGTGCCCTAGGAAGTTATAGGCTCTTAAATTGAGGCTGGTACCCAACTGACATTCCTGGAGCTATGGCTCTGTTATTGCACTGTGCTCAACTGTTTATGGGGAACATGATGCGAGGAAACTGTTTGTGGGCCTGAAGGATTACTTATCAGTATCTCAGCTAGCCTTATCTGTACTGCTTAGAGCCAATCGAAGGGAGAAGGAAATAGCTTAGCCAGCTCTGTACATTGCAGTACATGGGGACAGGCCCTGGTTTAACTAATGTAGAGGTGATAGTCCTACACTCAAGGCGAGCTGTCCACTTGGTCTTCTACAATTCTGTTCTCACACCCTCATCAACACAGAAGACTTCTGACACCAGATGTGTGGGGATTTCTTTCCCTCCAACAAGCAAGCAACCAATTTTGCTGAGTGGTTCCTAATTTAATTTTGATATTGATTACCTGGAGACAGTGTAATCTCTCACAGCTTAAGGCTTCAGTCCCAAGATTTATGCTCCTCTCACTCAGGATATCAACTGCAAGCCCAGTTTATTTTACAGATGGCTACTCAGCTGGTTATAAATTAGGGTAACCATTTCTTAGATTCAGTTAAGTTTTTGGAGTGGCTCACAGAACTTATGCTTACATTGTACGAAGCTGAAAAGATGCACAGGGCAGTGCCCCTTCTCATTATGCCACTGCTGTGGATCTGGAATGTCCCACTAATGCCTCCAGTACTGAGGGGGAGATTTTAGAAGGTGGATTATGGGGTGCTGCACTCATCTATGAATCCATTCATAGAACAGATAAGAACTAAATATGTTATTAGAAGGTAGAGTCTGACAGAAAGAGGCATGCCACTATGCCATTTCTACCTTGTAGTCAACCAACAGTCTCATGGGTTTTACCCATAGCTACTCAGCTCCCAATCCCAAAGCTGGAGATATGACCTCTCTGGACTTAGGAGGGTCTCATGACCTATACTACACAACATAGGTCATAGAATGTCTTTATGGCCAGCTCTAAGACAAAGGGCATGGGTGGTAGGCATATTAGGAGTCCTTTGGCTCACCTTGGGGAAAAGAAACTCTAGTTTTATTGCCTGCCTTGAAGAGGAAGTTGTAAGTCAGGAAATGTGGCTGAAAATCAAAAAAATATGTATCATCATATCATCCTGGTTAAATCAAGTATAGCTCTATTCAGTATCATTTTCAGGGCAGCTATGAATGTTGGAAAAAATAATTTAAACCACTTAAAAATTCTTAGACCATGATAGTTGGATACATTGTACCCTAAAAAATACCAAACATCTAAATTTGTTCAAAAATTACTAACCACAGTTATATAAAAAATGTTATTTTGAGTTATCAAAGAAGAATCAGAAATACAGCTTACTATTTCAAAATTTAGGGTTTATTAGAAGAGAAAGAAATTTACATAAATATAACAGAAATCCAAAAGCCATACTTGAGAACAAGAAGGAAACATAAAGTACTAGTGCATGAAGGAGAAAAATAAGAGGAAAGGCAGCTTACTTTCACGCAAGAGAAGAATCAAGGCAATCTTTGTGGAGGAGATGACAAGGTGGTAGATCTTGAAACTAAGAGAGGTTTGGAATTATGGGGATTACTAAATGCAAGGCTGAAGGTTATTTCAAGTAGAGAGAAAGCGTAAGTGTACTAATCAGGATTCTCCAGAGGAACAGAATGAACATAATTACAAGAGTATTTATTAGGCCGTTATACAATCAGAGGCTTAAGAGCCTCAATGGCTATCTGTATACTGTAGAGCTAGAGCAACCAATGGTCACTCAGTCCAAGAAGCTGAAAGTCACAGAACAAGAGGGACCAATGATTGCAGCCCTAGTCTAAGACTGACAACCTGGAAGACACCTGGGCAGGTACTGGTTCAAGTCTGTGTTCAAAGTCTGAAAAGTCTAGAATCTGCAACAATAGCAGCAAAACCCTTATTTGCTCAAAAGCATGGACAAACTTGAGTTTCCTGTTTCTGCTCTTTCTGCTTCATTTGAGCCCCAGTCTACAGCTCCTGTAGACCTTCCTCACTCAGCTGGCTGCCCAACACGTCGGTCAAAGGTGACCTCACAGACACAAGTGTGCTTTACCAATTTCCTAGACATCGCCTCATCCAGTCCACACCAACAACCAAGATTAAACACCAAACTAAGAAAAAAAAATTAAAAGAGGAAAATTATGCCTTTGCTGAAACCAAAGGGTAGAACAGATACTGCCAACACTATTTTTTTCTCTCTTTCTTTCTGTCTGTCTGTCTCTCTGACTCCCTCTTTTTCTTTCTTTTCTCTTTTTGGTGTTTTTGAGACAGGCTTTCACTATGTATTGGAGGCTGGTCTTGCTTTTGCTAGGTAGGTTAGGTTGGTCCTGAACTTGTGGTGATCTTCCTGCCTCAGCCTCCAGAGTGCTGGGATTACTGGCATGCACTACAATGGCTAGCTCATCGTATTTAAGTCCAAATAGATAGAGCTTAACTATCTAAAAAAATGTGTTTTCTAAAGGGCAGCATGCATTCAACCCATCTGATTTTATTTATGTATTTTTTATATAACTGCTAAAGTAAAGGGAATTCTTCACAGACTAGATATCTTGGAAAAATTAAAAGACCGACTTGTGATACTGGGAAGGTAAATCTGAAATCTTCAAACAGAGACCAAAGGAGCCAAGAGAAATGCAGACAGAGGACACAAGGCTGGAAAGACAACCAAGATGTAAGCTGACTGCCCCTGCTGGGGCCTAGGGCAGTCACCTGACCTCTCATTTTAAAATTTGAGCGAAATGAGATGTCTGGGTTATATAGTCTGGGTTAGAAGCCTTTGGCTCTGCAATAAGATGGTTCATATCTCATTACTTTGCTTTACTCATCCTACGCAAACCCAGGATTCACCTGTGTGGGGGCAGCTTCTCAGCAGCAAGGTAACTGGCATTCCCACCAAGTGGCCACATCTAATTAGTAGTACCATGACTTCAAGAAGGGTGACATATAATCTGAAAAGGGCTGTTAAATGCTTAACATTCTTCAAGTCAGTCAGAGTTCCACAAGGGTTCCTCCCCCTCAACTTATAAAATGTTACCTAGAGGGCATTATTTGAAGGAATAGCATTTTATAGGTATTTAGAAACTTTGAACTATTCTAAACAGAAATTATTCACAGAAGCCATATCTATCCTTTATACCTTTGGAACAATAATGAACTAGGAGAAGAGAATCATATTGCTTGGGCTGGGGCCTTAGCTCAGTGGCCTAAAGTGCCTGCGTGGCAAATGTGAGGTCGTGAGTTCAACCCCTGGCAAAAAAACAAAACAAAACAAAAAAACCCCCAAAAAACAACATATTGCTTCCTATAAAGTAAAGATTATTTTTGGCAATCCAGTACATTGTTACATTAGATTATAATGTACATTTTTATAATATTCTTCATGGGAAACTAGCTACAGATTAAGGCAAGTCCTTCAACAAAACTAGAGGACTGGACTTCATACATTTTAAGGCATACTAAAATAGTCTATTATTGGTTCTGTTAGCAGTAAAAATAACAGGCACTGTGCAGACTTACAGAATTTTGCTCGTTACTATTACTGATAAGCAGTAATCATAACTGTGACAATAAAAATACACATTATCTTCTTAGCAGTTTCAACACTTTTTTTTCGCAGAGTTGAGAGTGTTTTCTACACTTCAGGTTGTCAGTTGCTACGCTGGTCCCTGAATCCCGCTAGTGTCACTGTGAGGAAGGGCACCATGACTCCTTGTGGCCTGCAATTTGGAGAGGGACAAGTACACGTGTTTACAGGCGACACCAGCTTTTTTACCTCTTGCTAGTAACAGGCATTTTTCACTTACATGGTACACTATCTTTCTGAAACAAAACCTGGTACAACCAATCATAGTTCCAGAAACAGAAATGCAAAAGTATTTTTCATGAGAATTCTAGTCACATTATTTCATGCATACACATACAACAATCTTACAAATCTTAATCTCTAAAATTACTTGAAATAATAACTTTATGATATAAATATCATAAAATTAATATCTAGAAGACAAATGATAAGATTGTGAAAAATACCACCGAGTAAGTTATTTCTGCTGCATGCTGAAACCCGTAAACCTCATTTAGAAGACTACTTCATAAACTACTCATTTGTGAACAATTACTTTAAATACTCATGTCATTCACTGTGCTGAAAAACAGGATAATGGAACGTTATCTCCCCAAAGTCTGCTCATCATAAGCAGTCCATTCCTCTTTGCTGACTCCATGAGCTGTATAAACATACTGCAATCCAGACCACTACAGTGCATAGAAATCCTTGCTTTAAATAATCTATAAAATGCCATCTAACACAAATACAAGAAAGGAAATTCTCACTAACACATTTGTATTTACAGTATTCTGAATGGCACCTAAACCTGCACTGATTGTAAAAGTCACTCCCCCTTACCGGCGTTCAGTCTAGGCTGACAGCTCATCTAGTTCTCTCATTTACACCACACTGCAGTAACATAAAGAAGGGTTTACTGTTAATCCAGGTTTTACTACAAAGCGGCCCGTTATTTCTCTGTCAAACACTGGCAAGAGTGCCAAGTGTCTGTCATCCAATTCAGAGGATTAAGTCTTCTTTTATAGTCTGATACTTGTACCAATTTATAAAAATACAGATATAGTTTCTTAGGGTTGGTCACAGTCTATATTTTGGCTTGGATTCAGGCAGTAGAGGGGACTATGACAGCTGGCAGGAAACTGAGGGGAGAATACATCCTCCCCCTCAGTCAGCACATCTCAGTTGCCATGGCGATTAATCCCTAATTGAATGCTGTCTTTGTACATTTCTTTTAGAAAAACTTTTAAGTAAACCTAAGCTGAAAACATGCAGTTGATTGAAAAAAAAAAGAGGCATCACATCACAAACAGGTAAAGTGAAGTTTCATGACATACTTCCATATATTAGAAGAACAAATTAACCCTAATAAAGGTATTATCAGTTCCTTCAAATGCTCAAAGTATTTTTTGTGGTCTGAGTTTAAGCCTAAGGCACACAGGTTTTCCTTCCAGATATCACAGCTTTTAAAACAAGCTATTTTCAGAAATGGTTTTACAATATTCAAGTATAATTTAAGGCAAAACATGTTATTTGCACATTATCTTACATAGTTTATGTTATAAAATAACAAAGGTATACTTAGTAATTAATTTTAGGAGAGACGGGTTTTAGTTTAGGACAACTATAAAATACTCTATAAATACGAAATTAATGCATAAAAATATAAACCATAAAAAAGAAAATGAAACAGAGAAAAGGTAGTATATATTAGGCCTTTCCTAAATACATGGATGAATTTGAAAAGCAGGTTCCTAGCTTCTGCCATTCTGCTTACCAAAAATTATACCAAAAAGACCAAGTAAAAGGTGACCAAGTTTTATCTCTCGTACTCAGTGCCCCAGGCTCCTCTCACTGGTGCTCCAGCAAGCAGGCACGCTGCTCTGCAAGCTCACTCAGGGCTCTAATTCATACTCGCCTAGGAGCACCTCAGAAGGTGAACCACACCGGCATGCAGGGGCTTTACGCATGTGCCGGCCTCACTTGCACACACCTGTGCAGGGTTCATGGGTGTTCCTGAGTGTGAGGAAGTGCGTGAGCATCTCGCTGTCCACACACACACTTGCCCACATGCTTACATGTACACACATGATTTGCAAACACAGGTAAAGTTCTTCAATCACTTGCCCACGTGCTTACATGTACACACATGCTTTGCAAACACAGGTAAAGTTCTTCAATGAAACATGAAGGACAGACAGGAAGCACCCAGAAAAAGTCTCAGCAATCGGAAAGATTCTGTTTTAGCCCCAGGTGAAAGATACTACACTGGAGGACTGGGGCTTTAGGAAGACTTTAGAAACATGAGATTATCTTCTAACACTGTGACTGATCTCTTGTTCTTGACTTACTGCCTTTCTCCTTTGTTTTACTCTCGTAACTATTTTTAACAGTTTCAAGATCTCCGATTCACTATTCCCCCCCCCCCCACCTTCACACTACAGGCTACAAAACCCCTCACTAAGTGACATAAGCATGCCTAAGGGAAGATGCAGGTGGTTTCGGTGACTCCCTTGTTTAAGGCACTGAAGTAACACAGTCGGCCTTTGCTCTGAAGTTCCCTGGGACGGCCTACGAAACGTTGGAAAGGAGTTTTACTCTTCTGAACTGAGTGTTCTTACACAGATTGCTCTTGGCCTGCTAGCGTTGGTAGCATGGGACTGAGCCTCCCCCTTAGGGCTTTAAAACTTCTTTGAACATTTATATCCACCATACGTTATTCGGTGAACAATACATTTCTGCAATATTCTCTGAAAAGGAGGCACAAAGTGGGCACATGCATAGGAGTGAGATACATGGCTGGGAGGACACATCAGAAACCCCAGGAGGCAGCTGTTCCAATTTGCTTCTGGTATGAAAGTGACCCTCATGCTGAAGATCACGGTGAAGAGACAAGGTTTCCAATGAGATTGTCTACCTCAAAAATGCTGGGGCTGAAAAAGGTTAGAGGCCACATATATTTGCATTTTTACAACCCTTTTGAGGCTGTACAGTGTCTGATTTGTTGCTTCTGTATGTAAGGGTGGCTTTTCAAGTTCATTTTTAGAGAATTACATACCTATAAATTTCTGCTCTGAGAAGTTTTTACATGAATTTAAACCAATATCAGGTTAAATTATTTTATTAAATTCTAGTACTGTGGTTGCCAAATTATCTGACCTTTCATGTTAACATCTGTTTGGTAAAGAGGATGGTTCTTTTTTTAAAATGCATTCTAATTTTTAAAAATCTGATATACAATGTGTGATTGCAATATAGTTACCATATAAAATTTTAAAAAGTAATTATAGTAAAACACACAGTGCCATTAACTCCGCTCAGAATACGCCCCCTTGCTTCTCAACACATACCCCACGGTGCGTGCCACTCTCTGAAGTGGCTCTGGAAGTCCTCTTTGGTGAGCGTCCTTAGTTGTGCTGTCACTGCTGCCCCAATGTCCCAAACTGATTAAAAATGTTCACCACTCACGGTCCTTTTGACTTTGGGGAAAAGCCGGAAGTCACAAGGTGCCAGATCTGGTCAATAAGCTGGGCAAGGACAACCATAACGTTCTTACACGCCTGCCTTTCTTGTGGTTGGCAACTGTCTTTATTGTAAAGACATTCAGAAGTGGACTTCCACAACCGCTCCAAATGTCGCAAGGACGGTGGGCTAAATGTGTCTGAAACAAGGGGAATTCTTGGCAACGTGCCTTTAACCGTAATACATTTTAAAGACTAAAACTCTCATTTTACCATCTAATTTAATCACACCTATACTCTATATATCCTAATAACGCAAATTCCTAGATTACACATTTCTGCCTTTTTCAGATGGTTCCCACAAGGCAGTCACACTGGAGAAGTGTTGTCTCGAGTGGCAGCAGAGTGATGGTATACACCTAATCAAACGAGTATCAGTCACCCTAGCTGGGTCATGAAAAAGTCTTTAAATTGCAGTTTAGCAATGGACCTTTCTAGTACATTGAAAAACACTGAAATGCACTGGCTTTCGAAGAGTGTTACTATATTTACTCTAAAGATATTACTCTTCATTAGTTCATTTAGCTGTTCCCAATTGAAGCTGGAAGCTACAAGTTCCCTTCCAATGAAGTTTAGGAAAAGCTTTACCTCTCCTGAAAGAACCGGGCTTTTGTTGTTGTTTCCTACTCCACGCTAAGGAGATCATTTTCCTCTGTGTTTCTAAGCAGGGTGAACCTGTCCATGTGGAACTGCTGCCCACTTCCCCTTCTTGCCCCTGTCCAGGACAGCTGTTTAGTAGCCCTGGCCTCCAGATATTAATGTCAGTTGGGTATTTGGTCATTTTGACCACCCAAACTTCCCTTACTTCCAAATGCACTAAATGAGAAATCACTAAATAGGAAGTTGACTTCCTTTAGTTTTCTACAGAAGACTCAAATTTGTCATGTTAATAAAATACCCAGGTAGAATATCACATCCTACATTTGTACATTCTAAGTTTCTCCCAGTCCTAAGTTTCCAGCTTAATTTATAGTGTATTTTCACTGGTCTTACATTTCGCTATGTACTCTGGTTTTATTAATATGATTCAAATCCTTTGGACCACAAGTACTACAAATAAATAAAGATCACTTGAGAGTCCAGAGAGAATTTTTCCATGCTCTTCCTAAATGTGATGCTAAGTAAAGACAAACTACCACTGCTATATACAGTACACATTTCTGACTTCCCATAAAGTGATAGTAAAATGACTCCTCAGATATTTAACTCACAGAGAATAAAAAATAACACACCAAAGAATATTTCATTTTAGTTGGGAGCTATGGCACATTCTTTATAATCCCAGCACACTGAGAGGCTGAAGCAGAGGGCTCCAAGTTCAAATTCTACCTGGACAGTTTATAGCAAAACCCTGTCTCAAAAACAAATAAACAAACAAAGGGGTTGGAAACATAGCTCAGTAGCAAACCATTCACAGATTTTATCCACAGCACCATAAAACAATTTTAAAAAAACTTTGATGAATGCAATCTATATATAAACAAAAAATAGCATATTTGTCTAAAGCTTTATTCATATACGATAGCAATTTTAAATTGGGAAGCACTCATAGCAAGTATTCATTACTTTTAACATTATAAAAATCCTCTTGCTAAAACTATAGATTTAATGTGAAGCTAGTTTTTTTGTATGTGTCATTTCAGATAAAAATTTTTCCAGAAATCTAATCATACATCCTTTTCCATATGTGACAAGCAAGTTTTATTTCTGATTTAACTTTATAGGTCGCTCAGATTATTTTGCATTAGAGGGTGGAGGTATAGGTACTGTTTTATCCTAGAAAACTATTAAGCAACTCAATAGTATAGTATTTTAAGATCTAGATGAATCATTTAATCCAAAACATCATCAGAGACTACAGTGCCCCACGGTGCTTTGTGTTTTACAATAACTTGTATGCCACAGTTTTGGTAGCTACTTTTGAAGGAAACACTGTACTTAGAGAAGTTTCTAGTCAGTAACTTCAGTGAAAACAGGGATGAAAATTAATGGGGATAAAGAGTATTACCCTGCATTCTTCTTACCTTAGAACTGCAGACAGCTACGTTGGCAGGGAGCTGGGAAAACTGCTGCAACTCAAACACATCCCGCGTCGCCCAGCGGCTCATGTGGTTTTCGGCTTTGCTGGAGCCAATCACATTCTGGTTGGAGTGAACGTAAGCCACTTCCCGAACGCCATCTGCGAGGCAGTTAGTGCTTGTTAGGTGTTGCGATATGAAGCAACAGGGCCTCACGTAGAATAACCGCCACTACATGAAAATGGGTCATCCGTGCTTCACTGCTGACGACGGAACTGGCAGCGCTAGGGACCAAACCCAGGGCTCTTGCGTGTGGGCAAGAAGGTGCTCTGCCTTCCGGGCTGTGCCCCGCCCCACTGCTTTACCTTTAATCCTCACAGAAAACATTCCACATTTATGTCAGTATCACAATATTCCTCAAATCCGTGGGTCTAGGTTAACCCTGAGTGACTATTCCCTGGACAAATGTGAGAAGTGCTGGTGACGCCAATCGCACAAAACAAATATAGTTACCCACTGTGATTAAAACAGTAAGGTGAAACACATTTTCCTTAAATTTCAAAATGCCACGTAGTGTGTATGGGGCACAGTTTCAAACTCCCAAAAGGATTCTTCTTGTAGGTAACAATCTTTCAATTTAAATCTGAAATGGGGCTTTGGGGCACAAGAAAGTCATGGCTCAGAGTCCTCTCCATGAATTCGTCTTCTTGGTTAATTAAAAAACAAGCTGTTTACTAACTAAAGGAGCAGAGCCAGCCTGCTTTGTTCCAGAAACGTGTCCTTGTGCGCAGTGACCGAATGGGAGTATGGGGAGGTGACCATGGGCTTCCGTTCGGTTGGCCTGGTTCAGTTTTATTACTCACGCTGTGTCTTTTTTTAATACCAATGCCCCAGACGGTCAAGATGTGGGTTCTTTAGGAAATGAAAAAAAAAAAAATTAAGTCATGGCTTTTATCTAAAAGAGATTTTTTAAATGGCTGTTTTTTATTGCTTTGCTCTTAGGTACCTATAAATTATTTTTAAATTGTGGTCATAAAAGAGAAGGCAGCCAAGAGGCCTATCTCAGGTCCCTCCAACAGCATGGGCCATGCACCTCTGCGGTGCTCGGGCTGGGGTCTGAAGCTCTCTGGGCCAGAAAGGGCCACCCCTGAGCATAACCCACTGTTACATAACGAGATTAAAAAAACTAAGAAAATTTTTTCTTAAATTTCAGAACACCAGGTAGTTTGCATGAACCACAGTTTCAAAACAGGAATCCTCAAAGGATTTTTCTGCTAGAAAAGTTATTCAGATTTTTCTTAGTTTTTATGGCATATTTTATGCATTATTCAAAATAGCGCTAGTTCCAAAATATAGTAGCCTTTTACCAGGGGAAAAACCTCCAAATCAACTAATTGTTTAAGATTTAGTCTGTCCAGTAATTCCTTTAACCTAAAATCTCACTGTGGCACAGCCAAAGGATAACCCAGTTACAATGGTACCAAAGTATGTAACAGAGACTATAGATGACAGAAATCTGAAGTATAAATCAATCAAACACAACAATAAACAAAGTATCTCTGCTTTTATATTAGCTTCCTTCAAATAGTCTTCTGGGAACAGGCCAAATGCTGAAAGTAATATTAACTCTTAAAAATCACTCAACAGATTCTGGGCCGAGATTGGTAGCCAGGGAAACAGATTTTCAATCTCTCTGAATCCTCATTTGCAAACAGCACCTGAACAGCAAAACTCATGCACAATATCACAGCAAAATAAGTGAGACAATAACTCCATGAGCCCTACAATATAAGTGGGCAGGGCCAACCCATCAACAGGATGAGTTCATGGTCTCAGGGTCTGTGTAGAGGAGAAGGAAGCCCAGGATGGCTCTGATGGCCCTAAGAACAAGTACTCTAGAGAGTCAGTAGGTGTGGGTGGGAAGCACGCTCCATCAGCCAGACATCAGCAGCTGAGTCTGAGTCTGGGCAGGTGTCCTGCTTACCAGTGTCGAGGGAGGTGGGAGGCTGTGGGAAGAAGGGCTGGGGAACTGGAATACACCACCTTCTAGGAACCCACCTGCTCGCTGGGGCTCCTGCCCAGGCCGAGACTCAGCAAAGAAGACTCTGCTGGGAGGGCATCACAATGTGGGGCAAGGGAATTAACCACTACGTACAGTGGTGGTTAATTTTACAGTTTTGTGTAAAAATAAGCATGAGAAAAGCATCAAGGTCAAATCTCAAAAATTATGATGAAAGAAAAAAAAAGGAGCAGCATAGTAAATTCCTATCATTGAAAATAAGCTTCAAGGATTGCTCACAAAACAGATCAAAACTCTAGCTGATTATAAGAACATAAAAGGACATGTAGGACAGAATTATAATGCAGAAATGGGTGAGGGAACCTGAGAGTCTCAGAAATTTAAAAAATTATTTCAGAAATAAAACTGAACTATGGTAGAAGGAACATAAGAGGAAATGAACACAACAGATACTATCTTAAGCGAAATGGGAGTTTTCAATAAGCAAAAAGAAATGAAGAAAAGAGATAAAATGGATTTAAGACAAATTCTGCAGACAGATGAAGTACAGCAAACATTAAATACAGGAGTCCCTGAAAAGGAAAGCAAAAGAACAGACAGAGTCACCACTCTACACAAGGAAGCTTTCCTGAAATGAAAACCAGAGGGAGGACACTGTGTCTATGAGAACACTGATCCAGAATAAGCAATACAAACATCTAATCAGGTAGAATTACTGGACAACAACGGAAAGGACATAGAGTTCCCTAAGCATGGAGGGGCGGGTAGGGGGACCTATGACACTACAGTTTGTACCAGAAGAAAATGAGGTGGCATATTTAAGATACTCTACAGAAAAAAGTGCGAAACTCAGTGCCTATCTAGCAAAACAGACTTTTACACATAAAAGCATGAACTGTTATCACAGTCATCTCAGGAAAAAATATCATTCCAGTGAACACTTCTTGAGAAATTTAGTAGAAAATAACTAACTTTCAGACAACCAAAAGGACCAGACAAACACTGCTACAAAGAAAGACTGTTGTGGAGGATTAAGTTTACAGCGAATCCCCAGCAAACCACAAGTAAGGGCCGAGGAAGAATATACAATGTCATGCTAGTCTCTCTGACACAGTATATCCATTTTGGAAATGCAAGGAAATGGGAGGGTATGTAGAAAAAGCCAATCAAGCCAAAATGTTTCCAGTAATCACAGCATGGCATTATTTCTATTTCTTCTTTGTTGTATAATGTGGAGCAAAACATACAAACAGTTATTGAGACATCATTCCCTATATGTTTTTAAACTACAATAAATACAAGATAGGAGAGGTTAAGCAAGAGCTCTACATTCTCAAGTTCAGTACCAGTACAAATACAGAAATATGGGCTAGGGCTTTAGCTCAGTGGCATAAGTGCCTGCTTGGCAAACATGAGGTTGTGAGTTCAATCCCTGGTACCAAAGAAAAACAAAACCCAAAAGAGTAAATGCGAGTTCCTAGGGTAATTTTTTGTCATGACATATAAATATCTATTTATGTTCATATATTCATAATGTATATATATACACATATAAATGTATGTGTAACAAAAATATATATAAGGAAAGTCTGACTACTAAAAAGTTTCAGAGATAATAACCGAGCCAATAGTTGCAATGATTAATCCCAGCACCAGAATGTGGTCTTCAAACACATTTTCTCTCTAAAAGAAACCCAAGTGTTCTAAGAGAGATGACTAATTCTAGGTCTTGGCCAGAAAATACATGACACAATTCTGGAACATCCTGCAATACTATATAACAACGAAATTTTACGAGAAGATCTTAGGAACAAAAATGCTATGTAAAAAGCATCAATGGGCAAAGATGGCATAAATGAACCATAATAATAATATTAATTATAATAGATTGAGACCATTAAGTGTGCTTAAATTAATTCATTATGATTAAGGAAAGAATAGGCCCTCTTCTAAGGATGATATAGAACTAATTTATTATGTTGCTAACTGATAAATAAAGAAAGAAATTAAACACCTTCCATGCCTTTCCTATATGAACCACAGCATGGGGGAAGCAATAGTTGACATGGGAAAGTATTTGAAGATGCATTCTAATAAAGAAATGACAGAAGCAGAAAATATCATTTTCCCATACAAATAAATAAATAGGCATAGGCATTAAGAATGAGTGGTTGCTAAGATTATAAAGACAGCAAAGCAACATTTTGTGTCTCCTACAGCCTTAGGAAACACGAGCTTTTGTTTTGCCAAAGGAAATAAACCTGGGTCTGATCCAGTCTTGGGAGCCTGCTGCTCATTTGTAGGTAACAGAGGAGACAGAGGCACTTGCTCAGGTGCAGAGAATACGCAAAATCCAAATTGAGTGAAACACCCTAAATGGCTTAGGTACTTCGACAGGGAAACTGTAAAACTATAAATCAACGAAAAGGACGAAGGAGCGAGGATTCCTATAGATTTAAGAGAGTATGTAAAATTTTTTACAATGGGACCTGACTAAACTATAATATCTAGGGATGCATATTTGTGTGATAAAACCATTAACAATGTAAGTAGTCACACTACTGAATTCAGAATGGTATTTATGGGGACAGAAAGGATGGATTAGGACACAGCTCTCTATTATGATCTAAGTGTCTACCCTTCTGCCACTCACCCTCTTATTTGTGCCTCAATATAACATCTTGATGGGAGAGCTATTTTATAAGTTAATTCAATAATCTTTCCACGGAGCAATTAAATGCACTAAATTACCATTCAGAGAACAGGTTTACAGTGTGTCTGCAGTTACCTAAAAGCTTATCCATTGATTCACGTATCTGGTCCGGATGGGCAGCTCTCTCATTCCCAAACTTCACTGGTCTTCTTGGGATGGAAGCGCTACTTTTCTTGCCATGGCTAGGTAATTCTGAAGAGAAACTGCTTCTGTCTTTTACGGTTCCTGCTCTACGGCTCTGTTTAGATGAATGGAAGTGGCGAGCAGGCAAATCATCATCGGAGGATGAAAATTCATCAATAAGCTGAGAGTGACAATCTTCCTCTGTTGTACAGAGTGGATTTGTCTTCCTCAATGTTTTGGGGAAACAGTGAAGTTTCCTTGTTTCCTTTTTGCTCTTAAACTGCAGTGAACTTTGCCGTCTTATTCCTGAGTTGGAGGAAATGTCAATGTCATCAGATTCATCACTGACATCACCAGTGTCTTTTCTTTTCATAATAGACTTCAGGGTCATGCTCTCAGGACTCAAGATTTTTGAAATTAATCCATTTCCTGTCTCATCAATCCTTCTGCCATCACTACTGTTTATTTTTACAGGATTTTCTGTGTGAGACCCTTCAGCTCCATTTAAGGGTAGCTTAAGCCTGATACGACTGTTAGGAAGCCTCTGAGTTGTGTACTGTGTGGGAAAGATGACGTCGCTACCTTCTGATTCTGTGTCACTCTGTAAAACACTATGATGTCTAACTGTAGTTTTAAAGCTTTCCTCATCATCAGACTCAGAAGCAGCATTCTGTCCTAAAATCTCTCTTTTATCAGAAACACATGTTTCACTGGTACTGGGGATCCGATCTGGCTGCTGATGCCGGGAAGCACCAGCCACATCCCGAGTCTGCTGCCAGCCGGCGTCGCTGGCTTCCATGGTGAGGCGTGTGGGCTGCTCATCCAGACTCTCCTCCCCAGAGGTGGCATGTCCATCGCTGCCCTCGGCTGCTTTACACATTGCCTCAAATAGTTTAGAGAAGCCACACTGGAGTAAGGTGAGCTGTCCTGAAGAGGCCGAACCTTTGCTTGTATCCGATGCTCTGTGCTGAGCAATCTTTGTTCTTGGGGCTCCCACAGACTCATTGTCACTAAGGTCACCACAGAGATCACTCCCTGTGCTTGGTCCATTCTGTCCTCCAGGTTGGTGACAGCCGGGCTCTTTGGGCTATATAATAAGCCATGACAGAAACAGAAGAAAACATCAAGATGATGTTACTGGAAGGAAACTGATTTTGGTCAGAAAATTTAAATACAAGTACTTGGCATTTCTTAAAAATACATCTATAATAAATGTAAAAGATTTAATATTAGACTCTGAAACAGTCATTTTTCTTTCCAAAATAAATAAAAGTTCAACCTAAAATATTGCATGATCAAGTCATTTTCAAGGAAAATGGCTTCTAAGATACAGGGACCTGAAATTTTAGCTTCCCAAGTGAAAAGCATGCTCTTCAATGCTTAAGAATTATTGGGATTTACTGAGGACCAGCAGATAATTCCAATCACCCTTGAAGAACAATACAAATTTATAAGTTAAGAAAGTAAAGAATTTATAGCTGCAGAAAGGATCAAGTTGATTAAAAATAAGAAAACAGGATCTTAATCACTAGAAAACAAAATTTTGAAGTAAAATTTGCTACATATTTAAGCCCAGTGTTTAATTTTTTTCACATTTATTACAGCAAAATATATCCTTCAGATAACTGAGGCTTAACAGTAAAAATCTTTGGGAAAGTGTTACCTCGTGATTTTCTGCCAATATTTGATATTCATATATTTTGTTAAATTTAAAAAATGTTCTATTTTGTTTTGCTTTGTTGTACAGGGTTTCACTCTATAGTCCAGGCTGGCCTTGAACTAGTGGGAATCCTACTGCCTTAACCTCCCGAGTGCTGGGATTACAGGTACGTGCCACCACGTCTGGCATAAAAACTTTTCAGCTCAAATTCAAGATCAGTGTTCTGGAATAAATTCATAGTTGAGTCTTGGTTATGGACTGTGTCTAGATGTCCCTCCAAAGCCTCACGCAGTCGTATGTGGGGTTTTTCAGAGATAGCTGATGCTGGGGTTTTTCAGAGGTACATGATGCTGAGATTAAGGACACCCTATCCCAGGGTGAGTCCTATCCACACTTACCATAAAATGCAAGGGACAGAAAGAGAGTTACTGTGGTTGCTTGTGGCTTGCTGCTTGCTACCTCTACTGCTTGTCTTCTGTCTGTTATCTCCTGCCTGCTCTGCAATGCCCTTCTGCCACCCCACCACTGAAACCTCTACAAACTGCAAGCTGAAACAAACCTTGGAATGGGTATTTTGTCTCAGCAATAGAAAACTTAACTAATACAATCTCTAAAAAGAAAAAACTGGTAGTAATAATAATAAAAAACCTTTCACGTGTCTTTTACCTCTAGAATGACCTTAGGATAACAATATACATTTCATGGTATGTAAGGTGAGCAGCTACTAAATATTACAAGATCAAGGATTCAAGTGAAATACATCATCTGCCTCGATTCAGAGAATGATTGTACATAACAATAGCTACTTTTCCCGTTAATTTGACTTTCAATAAAATGTTATTTATCTGGGTTGGGCTGGTTACCTACAAGGTACATTTAGTTTCTGATTTAGAGACTGGTGTAATTAAAACTGCAGTTAAGATGCCTGATGCCTGCTCCTGAATTTGTTCTTACAATATGGATATTAAATAGGTATAAATTACTAATGAGAGGATACATTGTGTGCCCTGGATTTTTTAAAAAAGGATTTTTTAAAAAAAGATTTTTTTTCTTTTACACAGTGAGAAATGGAAGAAAAAGGAAAAGAAACTTAGGCTTGTCAGAAGGGGCATTTTCCAGGAACGGTGGGGCTACGCAGTCATACATCACTGACCGTTTCCAGTTCCTGGGCTGCAGGTCCTGCTTTCAGCCATGTTGTGGCTGTCATGATGCCTGCTTCCACTTGGCCTTCTCTCTACAATGTCAGCAAGAAAATACACAAATCACTGTGCAAAATGGGGAAGAGAAACAAAAACAACCAAACAACAGCAATCACATGTTAAATCCTGGCACTATGAAAGGAAAACTAAGTGTAGCTTGCTTTAGCATTCTTAATATTATTTTTCATTGCTAGGAAATCATATACACTCTTATTCTTAATTCTTGTCTTAAAATTTATTTAGACATAGAGAGCTAATAGTACTTTCTAGCTATTAAAGGCACTACTAGGAAAGACAGAGGAATAAAAAAATGTTACCTATTTACCTAAGAATGACATGCATACTTATCATTCCTATGTACTAATTATGGTAAGAACATATTAGTAACATTTCAAACACCAGAGACAATGGTGAACATTGGAAAACTGAAACCTAACTTACATCACTAGTACATTTATCATTCATATTTGTTTAGAAGTATTTATGAAGCCCTTAGGTATAATAGACACAAAAATGAAAAGATCCAACTTAATATGAAACTAAAAATGCTACCTTAATTATATAAGAGGTTGCTACAACTTGTGGGAAAGTTTTAGGACTTTGGTACAAATAGCCTAAATACTAGAACAGTAAAATTTTCTTCAAAAGGATATCCATTCTTTCTCTTTCTAAGGCTGTATCTGCTAAAACTAGTAGAACAAGGGGAAATATTGCCATCATTAGAGTGCCCAATTTACACCTAAACAGACACACCACAGCATGAGCCAGCCACGTGGTATCCAGGGTAACAAGCAAGTCTCCAAAGAAGAACAGGTCCTCTGTCTCACGCTTGGAGGCCATTAGGTGAGGAGATGGGAACCCCAATCCTAGCACTGCCACTTTCCTCTTCAGCACATACCAAGTGGCAACCACAGAAACAACGGGCAGGATCAGAAGTCCTCCAGCTAGAGGACCCCTCTGTGGTAGGCAATGACAAGTTCAGTTTTCAGTTGCTCAGCCACCCATAACTCTTCTTTTTCTTCTACCCTGTACATGATCCATCAGCGAACCCCAACTGTCCACTCTTCATAATGGGTGCAGAACTCCACCCACTTCTCATGCAATCTGCCACTAACCCCAGTCCAACCCACCGCCATTTCTGGACTTTCTTCCTAATTGGCTTCTTGCTTCTGCCCTCCTGATATCAAATTCTATTAAGCTTCTATATTCTAATTCTCAATCATCAAGATAATGCAAACCAGGCTAAATCTTCCCTTTATAACCCTCCAGTTGCTTTTGTTTCATTCAAAATAAAGGTCAAAATTCCTGCATGGCCCAGCCCACTGACATCTCTTCCGCCTCATCTCTTTTTCTCATTTGTCCCCCTCCAGCCTCACTTGCCTTCCAATTTAGAATTGTACTTAATATAACCTAAAAACTCAGCAACAGACATCACACACTGTGTAACAGTTCAAATGTTCCCAGGATACGAATAATGTACACCTTCTTTTTTCTCCTTGATCAGTGACCATGTCAAACTACTTCTGAACTTGCCCAGTGTGACATTCCATACTGCTTGCTCCTTGTGTAAATGTCTTCTTCCACCTCTCATTAACATGCTCTAAGTTCCTTAAGTACATGGACCAGCTTTTTCTTGAACTTGCTTTATGGTGCTTATAAATTAAATGAATTACATTAAGGTTTTACAACAAAGTTCTCAAGGTCGAGGGAAATAGCTTGATATTTTCCCAGACTCAGCTTTCTGATCTATATTATAAAGAATTGAAAAGAGGATGATTCCAAGACTTTATGAAACCCATACTAATGTCAATTAGAATAACAGGTTAATATCATTAGTACTCTGATCTATTAAAGAATTTAAAGATTTTTCCAAAAAAATATAAATATCTCATTTGAAGAATAAGAAACATCTGAATGTTGAGGATGAACAAATGGAAGAGTGTGAAATATTAGTGTGGAATTTTTATTAGGAACAGAAAAGAAAAATCTCTATGAGAGATGAGAGTACATCTTAGGGAGTATCTGGTAACTTTTAATCAAAACATTTTGTAGTTTCGTATTTAGAAATTGTTTTTTTCAAAATAAACTTCCCTCTGTAACTCAGAAAATAGCTTGGAGTTCATACTCTCCTCATACATGTATCTGTATACATATGTGCATTATTTATAATTATGCATGGGAAAACTATTTTAAAGGTACCGCAACTCATTTGCTATTTCTCTAAAAGTAAAATGTCTAAGCATAAACATTTTTTATAAGGAGAACTGAAAATTTCTCTGAAAAGTTACCAACAACTGTACTTCAAGCTTCTTGATAAAGCCATATTTAAAATACTGTGTTATTGAAAGGGTTAGAGAACAATTTCACACCTCCAAGATGTCCCTTGTAAGACAAGACCCCTGGGATCTCAGCGTGAAGAGGTTGTGGGTCCCGAAGAGCTCTCCTCGATGCTCTTTTGATCCTTGAACTGCCTCGAAGTATCTCTTGGCATTTTCACTTCCAACCACCACACAGTGAAGTTGCTAAAACAGAAAAAACACAAGGATTGGAAGTGTTTGTTCCAATAATATGTCAAAATTTCCTGGCATTCCCTGGATATACACAGCCTTAGCTGGAGCAGACCGAAGTCTCCTTAGGGAGGAAATTTTGTTTTAATTTCCCTGGCAGATGTTGCCATTATGGTGAAATATAACAATAATCTGGTCAGTCGTGCTGAAGCAGAGATCTTATATTTTCTATTTTATCTGTTTTCTAACAGCTAAGTCAAGATTACATTTTCAGGGACTATCTACCTGATAAAATGTTTAATAGTAAAAGTGTACACTTGAATATATATTTCTTCTTACTGAACTAGAAACTTAAAAATGGAAGAAATAATCACTATAACAGTAAAGTTAAATGACATTCCAAAGTAATATATGATAACGTTGTTGCTGTCAAACTAATCGTACCTGATTACACTGTAACTTAACAGCAAAAGCCTTGTCACTGTAGAAATGCAGCATTTCTGAAACAATTCTGAGTATAAGAAAGAACACTAACATGAAAACCTTAAGGATATAGACTATCTTAGTGTCAACATTAGTGTGTACCTTGTTTGCTGGACATCTTAGTAAATGGAATGTAAACGTGTAAAATTAAAATATAATCTGATTAACCCTACATACACTTTAAAATGTGTGTAAGAAAAAAATGCACAGAATGGAAAATAAATTTATTGTCAATGAAAATGGTGAAAAGCAACACAACTATTTTGATTATCAGAGTTGATTTGCACTGCAATATGTTACTGAGTACTAAAATTCTTTGTGTGTGTATGCGCGCATGTGTTTGTGTGTGTGAGAATATAAGCGTGTGTAGTGCATATGTTCTATGGACTGGGCCTCACATGTGCTAGGCAATTACATTCCCAGCCTTTAAATTCTTATTAGTAACTGTTAGTATAAAATACTTAGTATATCCATTTTGTTTACATTCTCTCATTTCACCTCTGTAACTTTATGTAATCTCCATTTCAAAAATAATAAAACTGGAATTTCTCCATTTTAGAAATAAAAACAATTTTAGAAAAACGCCCTGCCTACCTGTGCCAGCTAAGAAGTGCCAATTTTAAAATCTGTACAGGGGTTTGGCTAAATCAAATATACACTCTTAATTCTTACCTACAAGATACCTCTCTTAAAAGAAGACTGTTTGGAGCTTAGTTTGAAAAGTTATCCATCAGCATAGCAACTTGAGCAGCTCAGTATCAATGTTCCAGGAATATGAGGTTTAATCTTGGGAATATAGAATCACAACTGCAACTGATGGCCCAGTGTTTTACTTTACTCTTGCTACTGACTAACACTGATATTGTCAGATTGTAGATCTACTAACTATAATCACTAAGGTAATTTGCAAGCCCTAATGTGGCTTTGTAAGTTTCCTAACAAATATTTATCATGACATTTATAAAAAGCACATTATTTTGTACTTCAGGTAAGTTTTCCAAAGTGGCTTCAGCGAAAGTGAGAACCAGGTGCTTTCATCAGTAGGCTAGTTACGTCTGAAATTCAAATGACAGAGGAAGAAAAATAAGTGTTGGAACTGCAGTTTAAGAAAAAAACCACATAAAGACACAAAATACTTGAATTTCATCATAACACTAGATAAGACAGAAGCAAAAGAAGGAGAAAGAAGACAATATTCATCAAGTTAAGAAGTCCAAGGCCCCTTCCTTCTTGAAGGCCAACAGCGTATCTTCCCAACTTCCATGCAGCTTCTGCCTTTACATCTCCATCTTTGCCTCCTCTGCCCCTACTGTTTCTTCTTTATAAGGACTCTTGTGATCTCCTGGGCCCACCCAGATAACCTACATGGATGGGGGATTAGGATGTAGACATTTGGGGGGACCATTATTAAGCCTACCACAGAGACAGGTGCACAAAGGAAAAAGGGTCATGTCAAAATGACACAGCTAGGCACCTTGACGGGGTTCCCACTGGCCCAAATGAGACAATTTGAACTTGAAATTAATGGTGATATTCGATGAGCTATAATCTGTTACTAAAGTAGAAACCCATGAGTCCAGATTTACATAAAGAAAAGAAAAGCTCTCTTTTGTGGTAGAACACCAAAGAACAAGGAGAGAATAATGGAAATAGAAAAGGCACACCTGAGCACCATTATGACAGTAGCTAACTCAGACAGAAATTGTTATACCTTGGATCCAGATTATTATGCACTCCTAGGTGGGCTTTCTGTAGGTGGTTGGATCTAGGGTGTGTGATAACGGAGTTCAGCAAAGTCCTGGGTGTAAATGATGGAAGTCCCAGCCTCGGTGTGGGTGGCACCGATCAACAGGCTTACAGCCTGGATGGAATATAAAGGGAGAGAGGAAAGGCAGGCTGGATGCTGCGGCCTTCTGCCTGCCACTCCATGAACTGTTTCTCACCGGTGATGCCCCTCTGCCATGCCATCCCGCCTCACAGCCAGCTAACTATGGACTGAAACCTCTACAAACTGTGAGCTGAAATAAACCTTTCCTCCTTAAGCTTTTGTGTGCAGGGTACTTTGTCCTAGCAACAGGAAAAGTAACTAAAGAATCATCAATGAATGCTAAGGATGGATACAAATTTGATGAGAAATCAGATACTGGCAGTGTCTTAGAGGCTTGCTCATGAATTGCTTATTAATCACAAAGTAAAAAAAACAGCAATGTTGCAGGGGAGAAACCTGCAGGTCACCATCCTGGGAGTTCTCAAGGACACCGTAAGTAGAGTATAGTTTGTGGCCTGCATCTGAAATGAGGAAAACCCAGTGAGAGACATACTGCACAAAGGAAGGCCTTTCTCTTTCACACTGTTATGCTCATCAAAGGTGAAAATTATTCCACATTGAAGAGCTGAAAGGCCCCAGTAAATGGACTATGATTCTGATTAGTTTTTCGCTCCAAAAGGAAAAAGGAGACACTGTGGGGGAACTGGGGAAATTCCAGTGGGTTAGCAATGAGATAATATTAATGGTCTGAATAACTACATTCTGGAGAACAAAATGGGGAAACAAAGCTAAGCTGTAGAACACTAGGCATTACTGTTTATAATGTATAAAGCTTTATTTTAAAGTTAATTAGTTGGTTATTTTTGCAGTACTGGGGACGGAACACAGGGCCTTTGCACTGAAGCACAATCCCAGCTTTTTTTTTTTAAATTTTGAGACAGGGTCTTGCTAAGTTGCCCAGGCTTCACTTTCAGAGTGCTGGGCTACAAGTGTGCATGACCACACACAGCTAAAACTACGTTTTTATATGATACACAAATAGAGAAGTGTCCTTGTTTGAAGAAAATACACACTAGTGATAAATCTATAATATTCTCCCAAATGGTTCAGAAAAAGGATGATAATGGCTAAGAGAAAGAGAAAGCAAACATGTAAAATGTCATCAACTGGGGAAGCTGGATAAAGTCTGGGGATTCTCTATGCTTTTCTTACAATTCTTCAGTAAATATTTCTCAATATGTCTGAGTGTGTGTGTGTGAGACAAACTTTCTGAATACTAAACTTTAGACTTCATATAATGTTCCGAACATAAAGGAGTACAGTTGGCATATAAACGATGTTATTTTTAACAGTGCATAGTATCTAAATGCATTATCATAACAGATTCAAACAAAACACATCAAAGTGAAAAGTTCCTCAAACTGCACAGATCTCCCCTTATCAGATCCCTCCTAAATCTCTATCATCAGTACAGTTATAGCTGATTAAATAGCCTTATATGCAAATGGAGCTGATATGCTGTAAACATTGTTCTCCACATTGCTTCTCACCCACGTGAAGATATATCAGAGATCTTGTGGCATCAGTAATTTGATCTGACTCTAGTTTCATCTTTCTGTTGCGGAGTATCTATCACTGGTGTAACAGAATTTGTTATTGTTCTGTGCTCAGGCTGTTTCCTTTTTATCTCCCAAACAAACACTAACAACACTGACTATAAATCCCTGTCACCATCATTCCCTAGACACATACAAGAGCATTTACTTCTGTTCAGTTGGTATGGAAAAGGTGCTACAAATTTTAAAATGCTTCAGTCAGCTTCTAGACTAGTCATACACCAGTTGTATTACCAATGATCATTTGTGAGTACATTTTTACAGAGGCCTACAATAGTGAACAGCATTAATCTCCCTAACCAGCCCCAAATCCTGCAAGAGAAGACTAAAAAAATTTTTAAAAATTTCTTTTGCAGAATGTGTAAAACACATTATATTTTATTTCATGTTTCTAGATTACCAGTATGGCTAAATATCTTTTCACATCTGTATTAACCGTGTGTGTGTGTGTGTGTGTGTGTGTGTGTGCTTTCAGAGAACCGTCTACTCATGGACTTTTATTGTCTTACGGGAGTTTTTAGTATTTTATAGCCGCTTCGCCTTTATTGCATATACAGCAAACATGTCCTCCTCATCTCTCCTTTAATTTGATTTTCAGTTTTGTGGCTGTACAGAAGTTTCATGCAGAAATTTAGCCAGCTTTGGCAAATGCCTATGTGGAGTCCTAAGACTGCTGTAACAGAGTATCACAACCTGGGGTGGCTTAAAACCACAGACACCCCTCCTCCCAGGCTGCAGTGTGAAAGAGCCAGCGGGCACGTGGCCCTGCATTTCCAGAAGGTTCTAGGCGCTGACCTCTCCTCATTGATTCTTGGCCCCTGGAAACGAGCAGAAACCGGAGTGTGTTCTGGCTTGTAATGGTGCTGCTGTAGTCTTTGCCTCCACTGTCTATATCCAGATTCTGTCTTCTTAGAACCGTGTCAGACTCCGGTTACAGAACAGCCTGGGGAGGAGTTCACTTTAAGCTCATCTGCGAAGACCCTGTTTACATACATAAGATCAAATTCACAGACACAGGCTCCAACACCTCTTTCCAACAGGAAAGGGCACAGACAGACTCACACGGAGGTTCCCTACGGACTCGGGTTTATGTTCACGGGAGACACTGACTGCTGGGTAATTTTTTGTCCCTGCAATAGCTTCATCAGGTTTTGGTACAGGATTCTCCTGTCTTTGTAAAATAAGCTGGAAGTGTTTCCTCCTCTATTAAATCTTGAATAGGATGCATCACTGAAGTCAGCTGGACTAGGACCTTTCTTTGCAGGAAAGCTCTGAATAAAAAATTCAGCGTCTCTTAATAAAAAAAAGGCTATCTTTTCCCCTCATTTGAAGAGACTGCCCTTAAGCATTTAGAATGGCTAACAGGAAGTGAGATGTCTGTTTAATGCTACTACTACTGCATATAACGATTTTGTGAGTGGTTATCTCTGCATTTTTAAAGGATTTTCCGCTTCATACTCGGTGTTTTACCCTTAAAGATGGCATAAATGTGACTATTTCCATTCATCTTGTAGTGCTTAGTGGACCCAAGTGGTCTATAGACTCTTGCGTTCTGTATGTTCTCCCCATACTTTTCTTCCGTTCTTCAGCGAGGGAAGGCTGATCCTGAAACTTCCGGATCTGGAGTCCCTTTTCCCTAACATCTCTTACCTGTGTTCTAGCTCCGTCTTTTTGCTCTGCAGTCTAGACTTACTTAGCCTTTTCTTTTAAACAAAAAGTCTGCTCTTTGCTACTTAGTCTATCTCAGAAAATTTTGATTTTCTGAATCTTTCTAATGGATTCTTTCCCTAGTCGTCCATTCTTGTTTTGTGGAAACTATCACCTCGTTTACCCTTTGAAAATATTTATACTTCTTGAAACAATCTTTCGTTTTATTAGTTCTGTTTTCTCTGATGTTAATTCTTTGTTACAACTGCTTGTTCTAAGTTTCCTATAACTCCCATAGCAACTTATTTCTCACAATTCTGGAAGCCAGATATGGGAGATCAGTATCACTAAACTGGAATCAAGGCGTGGACACAGCCATGCTCCACCTGGAGGCAGGGTGGCTATCCCTCCTCTCTTCCAGGAGGCTGCTGCAACCCCTCAGGTTGTAGACAGATCATTCCAATTTCTGCCTCTGTTATCATACTTCCTTCTTCTCTCCTGTGTCTGCCTCTTCCTTATAAGAATATTTGTGGACCATCCAGTATACACTCCCCTTCTTAGAATTCTTAATTGAATCACATCTGCAGTCTCCTTCACATTAAGTGGTGTCCACAGGTTCCAGGGACCAGGATCTCCTGTTCTTGAGGGCTGTTACACAGTGCCCTTTTCACAGTACTTACTGTCTGTCACTGTCTAGTAATTACTTTTGGCTGCTTGCTCATCTACCTTTCAATACCTTACATACTATCTCAAGCTTACTCCCCTGGTTATGTGAAGTGTGGTGGGCAGTGCAGGTATTTAGTCTCTTGGGCAATGGGAGAGACTTTCTTCTGGATACCAGGAAAAAACTGGAGCTTTGCAGACTTTCTTTGCTTCCACTATTTCTAGCAGAGTCAATATCTCTGTTGACTATAATTTGATACAACTTTGATAAGACCATAAAGAGTCCTCCATCAAGGGATGCCCCAAGGAATCACCCCAGGATCCCTTCTTCTTGTAGCAAATGCTGACTCTTAGATGGAGACACTGTTGCACCTAACGTTTTCAGTATTCTTCTGTGTTCAGGTTGGTTTTTCTTTAAATCTAATCCCAACTGCTTTCTTTCCAGATTTCTCACAATTTTTGTGCCAATGAGAGAACTAGTCTTGCTTTCACATTTATAGTTGCCTTTTTTGGTTGGGTTTAAAAATTCTTTCCTCCAAGGATTTGAGGACTACTTGGGAGGTGGGAGTGTTTCTCACAGGCACCCGCGGCTCAAATTTCATGTCACCTTTCAATTATCTTTAACATTCCAGCTGGCCTTAAGCGCTACAGACATGTTTATTCCACTGGTGGTTCAGTGCTGTCTGTCATGAGAAATGTAAGTTATGGACCCATCACCCACCTGTTAATGCCTTTCCCTTAAGTGACTGCCACCTTATCCTTATTTGTATTATACAAAGCTCTGACAAATTACTTTGTCTCCTGAAAACTTTTATTGCATATTATTATATGGCAAGCCATTTTATTTTATTAAATGAGCCAAGACAAACAGATAAAAGGAAATGTATGTAATGATGGGTTGATAAAAATTACATGATTGAGAAAACACTCTTACTTGTGACAAGTCAGGCATATTCTAAAGATCAGCTCCTACGGTGAAACTACAGTAGCACCTTGCTTCATGAAGGCTTCTGTTTGCAAGTGATTTGGTTCACAAACAGAAGCGTTTGGCAAAACTTTGTTTTTGTTTGCAAACTCTGCATCAGGTGAGGAACATGACCGTTGCCATCTTTCCTGCATGAACACAAACACTGCCATCTTCTCCAAAATCATACAACAAATGAAGTTCATGAAGCAAGGTATCACTTGTGTTCTAATTTTTTCAAGACTGGTTAAGTAGATTAGAAAAAATAATTTTCAAGTAGCTGTGTTGCACCAAAGAACAAAAAGATGATCCATTTCTTGTGGAATTAAATAGCTTAAGGAAAAAACCCAAAATCTGCTGTGTACAATTCCATTTTTAGAATGAGGAAAACAGCATAAATTTAAGATTGGATCATTCTTGGGTTAACTACCACCACTTGTGGCAGATGTTTGCTCTTAAACTGATGCCAACCAAGTACAGGGAGTAATTTAAATTTAACATTTACAATTAAATGTGAACCTCATTCCAGATCTTGTCAAGTGAGCAGTTATAAATGAAGTAAGTGTTGCTTATGTAAAAGGATAGATGGAGCAGTAACTGGTGTCTTAAGCACATTAGAGACTTAATGTCACGTTAGAGAAATACTAAAACAGCACCAGCAGTCAGCATGCGTGAGTCCTATCCCTCTACAGTTTGGTGTACTGGGCTTCTCGGTGCTCTCAGTTTCACTGTGTGTAGTACCTATCTCTCCCGTCACCTTCACAATCCGGCCCACATAGGAAACGGTAACACACAGCCGTCTATTGGGAGCAGGTAGGGGAGGTTCCTCAAGACTGGACGCTGGCGCAGGCACTCCTGCTGCCCAAAGCTGTGGGCCAGCCAGCATCAGTGCACCTGTAACCCACCACAGTGGACCACTGCATCCTGGCCCGCCATTCAGAGAGGTGTCACTTTGCTACTCAAATTATGATCTGGGGACTAGAAATACAGGTAGCCCAGGGGCCAGATTAAAAGGTTCAGATCTTGGGTTCTACCCCAGACCTACTAAAGCAGAATCTGTGTATTAACAAGATCCGTAAGTACTTCCTATTAACGTTACACACTAATGTTTATGAAGAACTACTCTAAGAAACTTTCAGTACCAAAAAAAAAAAAAAAAAAAAAAAAAAAAAAAAAATCAATGAACCTAAGAATTAATCTGTTTCACAGAGGTATACTCAAAAGTATATTCTATAATCTTTATTCAATTTCATAATAGAGTAAAATACAAAAATTCGTTCACAAATGTTCCTAAGTTTTGAAAACAGAAAAATGCTTACTTTTTAATTAGAAAATGGGAAATATATTTACCTGCTTGTACACCTGTCGTAAATACATGATTTCTTCCACAGTTCCCAGGGATATCAGTCTAAACACTTTAACATCCCTGCATTGTCCAATCCTATATGCTCTGCAAAAGAAATATAAAACAAAAAACAGAAATTAACTAAAACAACTTTCAGTTTAAATTAAGTCAGTTTTTAACATAACAATGGAAAATTTTAATTTAAAATTAACATTTTTTGTTGGGTATGTTGTGTCATTTATCAACAATATATCTTTATATAGACTATTGAGGAAAAAATTAGGGAAAAATAAAAGTGCATATCAACTTAATTTCTTTTACCATCTTCGCCTCCTAATATTGGAAACTTTTCCTGAATTCAGGTGTTTCTTTTACGGCACTCCATATGAATAGATTGTTATGCTCTACGCTTATTGCCCTAGTAACCATGTACCTGGAGTACTGATCACATTGTTATAAATTTGTTATAAATTAACTGAGGCATTGCCATACTGTTCTGTATGTCATTACCTTAGTAACTTGTTTGCTGTGTCAACCATTGCTCCCTTTGTGAGAGACAAATGATACTGTGTCAAACTTTGTTCACTTTGTGAGAAACAAATGTTCCTGGAATTAGCAGACCAAGGGCTATAACTTAAGAAAAAAAAGGGGGGGGGGCGCTAACCACCAACTTCGAAAGGTCTCTGACCTCAAGCAAAAGAAAACAAAGGCCTTCCTAATTCCTGCTCTGTCACTTACTTGGTTAATGTGATATAAAAATCTGTCAGAATTCTGACTCAGTTGCACAGCTTTGCAAACTCCATCTGCTCTGTGCTGCTGGGCACCAGCTAAAATAAAGCACTCCTTTACAGACATCTTACACCCACCCCCCCTTCTTGACAACAGACAACATCACGGGGCTTGTCTTTTTGGGGGGTATAACAGGATTATTCCCAAATGATTTCATTTCTACCAAATTCCCCCAACTGGAAACTAATCCATAGTGACAGAAAGCAAATTAATGGTTGCTTGGGAATAAGAGGTGGGGAGAAACAGAGGGAGGGATTACAAAGAGCAAAGGAAAAATTGGGGGTATGGTGGTTATTTTCATGATCCTGATACACAAATAAGTCAAAACTAACAACTGTGGGTTTTCAATACATCCAGTTTATTGTAAGCCAGTTAGAATTCAGTAAGACTAGATCCATAACTATATCGCTTAGGGAAAAGTACTTAGCCAAGCGGAAAGTGCATTGGAGATGCAGATTTAGTCTACTTCCGTAGAGATTTCTACTCAGTGAGTTTGACTGAACGTTGACTCGAAGCCCAGGTGTTCTGACATGGACCACAGCAGTGACTCCAGGTCTCACCTGACTCACTGCAGTGATTAACCATGGGTCTGCTCCCTGCAGTGTTCATATGTTCAGTGTTTACTGAATGCTCTGGGTCAGGCCACCTGTTACAGTTGCTGACGGGCAGATGGAGACAGGGGCAAGGTTACATTACTGCAAGTGTTACAGTTAGAGGAAATTTATTTTGCTGTTTGGAGGGTCATGTGTAAGTCGTTATATTTAGTGGCCCCGATTCCTCCTCACAGAGAAAGACTTACACCCTGGATCCTGCAAATCTTCTATCACCCAGGAACCAAAGGCTCCAAGGAAGAAGCCCAGCCCCTCAGATCACCTGTGCATTCTCTCCCAGCATGCATCTGGAGTGGCTGGAAAAGGTTCCCACAATATATTTGGGCTCGAAGAAAGCCACAAATGGATCTAACAAAGTGTCCTTTGGTTGGTTGCTAGCCAATTGCTTAGCAAACAGAAGAGATTGTTAAAATACATTTCTTTAATATTTCATAAACAATACTTTTTAATAGTTATTTTGCACCTACACTTAAGGATTTGTGAGAGATGGACCTTCCAGCTTGTAGGGAATGCCACACAATATGTAGGCCCCATTATGTACACACGCCTCCTTCACTCAACTTCTTGGTTTCTCCTACCAAAGACAGGAGGAGAAGAGGAAGGATGGGGAACAGGAGTGCACTGTGCCTTGAGGGAATAATTAGAAAAAACAAAATACTAGGTTTTGGTGACCTAGATGAAAATGTAAAATTATAGCAAATGTCCTCAGATGAGAGGACAGGGTGCAGAGGCTGCTCTCCAGTCAGACCAAGCAGACGCTAATCCTGCTGCTCACTGGCTGTGAACACAAGCGAGTTACCGAGCCGGCTGCATGGTGAGATTCTCAAAGATCAGCAGGGTACGCGAGCCATTTTTAACCATACTGCATGCGGGCAGAAACTCAGAACAGTTCCTGGCTCACAGTGAACACCATAAATATAGCTGCTGTCTTTAGTCTCCTAAAAGTATTTGCATAAAGCTGTACATAAGATGTACTATATGATAACTATAAACAGAATTACTGACTAGTAAGTCTTTCTGGTTAAGCCTTTGTGTATAACTGCTTTTTTCTTTCAGAGTAGATTTTTTAAAAATTTCCCTCAATTAGTCTTTCTTTTTTTACTTTTTCTAGTTTTCTGTACAATCCCTTCATTCTCATTTTTTCAAAATTAATTTAAAAGTTCAGCAGGACTTAAAATGATCCATACTGATTTTATTTCATGTCTACATAACCAGTTCTTCTCTTTTGATTTTTCTTTACCATAATATATATTTAAGCATTTTAAAATTTATAATTCAGTGTCATTAATTATTTACACCCTTGTGTAACCATCATGACAATATATTTATGCAACTTTTTTCATCTTCAGAAATAGAATTGCTTACCCATTAAACAGTAACTCCCTCCCCTGGTGACTACTACTCTACTTCCCATCCCTAGGAATTTGATTATCCTAGGTATAATAGATGAGGGAAACCATACAATAGCTGTCATTTTCTGCCAAAATCAGGACTCCTTTCCTTATCACTGATAGCAGAGAAAAAACATCTTTAGGTCTTTTACTACTGATCATTATTAGCTCAGTTTTTCAGAAGTGGTCACTGTGTTGAAGTAGTTTCCTTATTCAAAATTTGTTAAGTGTTTTTTTAAATCATGAAAGTCTAGTCAAATGGTCTGTCTGTATCAATTGAGACAATCACTGTAGGGTTTTCTTCCCCCCTCATTGAAGCAATAAGCTATACTAACTTGTGTAAAATGTTAAATACCTTGTACTCCAGGAATACATACTACTTTATTATCCTTTCAACATTTTCTGAGTTTAGTTTCCTGATATTTTATTGAGCATTTCTGCATTAACCAAGAGTTAAATGGGCTATAGTTTTCTTGTACTGTCTTTGACCCTGGTATTGCAGTATTGTTGGTGTCACAGAATGGTGTTTCTTCCTCTTCAAATTTTCCAAGAGTTTGAGAAGAACTACTGTTAATTATTGTTTGGTAGAATTCACTAGCAAAGCATCTGGTCTGGAGCTTTGCTGTGGTGGGAGGTTTTTAATTACTATCTGTCTCCTTGCACAGTTACAGATAACAGGTTTTGCTATTTTTTCATGATTTAGTCTTGGTAGGTTGTGTATTTCCTGAAAGTTGCTCATTTCACCCAGGCTGAGTTATTTGCTGGTATACAAGTGTCCACTGTAATCTCATAACCATTTATATTTCTGCAGTATTAGTAGTAGTGAGAGCAATGTCCCCTTTTTGATTTCTGACCTCATGTATTTTAACTGTATCTCTTTTCTCTGTGTCAATCCAGCTAAAGGGTCAATTTTCTCAACATTTTCAAAGAACCAACCCTTGGTTTAACTGAACTTAAAATTTTTTCTATTTGCTTGTCTCTGCTGCAATCTTCATTGTTCTGTTCCTTGGTAAGCCCTGGATTTAATGTAGTGGTTTTTTCCCAGCTAGCTCCAAAGGTGAAACAGCTTACTGATCGGAAATCATCCTTTTCTAATGTAAGCACTGATGGTTAAAAATTTCCCTTGGCCCTTCTTTCATTTATTTTGTAAGTTTCAATATGTTGTGATTTCATTTATCTCAAAACATTTTTAAATTTCCTTTGCTGTTTCCTCTTTGACTCGTTAGTGGGTAAAAAGTATGTTGTTTAATCTCCATGCATTTGTGACTATTCTATTTTTTCTTCTGTTGCTGATTCTAGTTTCAGACCATTGAAAATGGGGGAAAATACCTTCTATGATTTCAATCTTTTTAAATTTACTAACGCTTATTTTGTGACCTAAAGTAGGGTCTACCCTAGAGAATGGGCCACATGCACTTGTGAAAAACATACTCTGCTACTGTTCTGTTAGGAGAGCTCTATCGACGTCTGCTGGTCTAACTTGTCTGCAGTGTTGTTCACATCCTTTATTACTGATTTTCTGTCTGGATATATTACCTATTATTGAAAATGGGACTCTAAAGTATTCTACTGTTATCGTAGTGCTGTTTGTTTCTCCTTTCAATTCTCTGCTTGCTTCATATATTTCAGAGTTCTGATGTTTGGTACATTCATGTTTATAACCGCTGTAGTTCCTTGATAAACTGAGTTTTAACACTCTCACAACAGAGCCTTGAGGTGCTTTCCTGGCAGGTGGCAGGTGGCTCTGAACCACCAGTCCAGCAGCACATTAATGACTGGGCACCATGGAACAGTCCCATCAGGTGGCTTGTTGCTGACAGGACTGCCATGCATGTACCTTCATCTGCGGTTCAAGCCAGTGGGAACATGTTAAATCATGGTACAATGTCCACTTTTTTCCTTCCAACGATTTTTGATTTAAAAACTATTTTGTTTAACATTGATACACCTATCTCTGTTCTCTTTTGTTTAATATTTGTATTGAGTATCTTTTTTCACTTTCACTTGCAACCTATGCATGTCTTTAGATCTAATCTGAGTCTCTTATAAAGAGCATACAGTTGGACGCTATTTTTTAAATCTGTTCTGCAACCTTTTACCTTTTGATTTGGGAGTTCAATCCACCGATATTTAAAAGTAATTAGAGATAAGGAAGAACTTACTTTTGCCATTTATTTGCTTTCTCTGTGTCTCATAACTATTGTCTCATTTCTCAATACTCCTTTCCTCTACATTGTTATATTTTTAGTGGCTCACTTTTATGCCTCTTGGCTCTTTTTATGTATACCCTATAGATATTTTCTTTGTAGTTTCCCTGAAAGCAATTACATATAATATCCTAAAGTTATAAAAATCTGCATTAAATTGATACCAATTTAGCTTTAGTTGCATTTATGATCTGTTCCTGTACAGTTTCAACCATATCTTTATATTATTGATGTTACAAATTATATCTTTATATACTGATATTTATAAATTATTTATGCATTTGTCTTTTAAATCTATAGAAAATAGGGGGCTGGGGATTTAGGTCAGCAGCATAAGCACCTGCCTTGCAAGCAGGCAGTCGTGAGTTCGATAAAAAGGAAAAAGACAAAAAAAAAAAAAAAACTATAGAAAATAACAAGTAGAATTATAAGTCAATTACAATACTGATATTTCTATTTGTCCCTGTACTTACCTTTGCTGGAGAAATGTATTTTTATATGGCTTTGGGTCACTATTTAGTGTTTTTCATTTCAAAGTGAAGGTCTCCTGTCAGCATTTCTTCTAATGCAGGTCTTGAGGTAAGAAACTCCCTCAGATTTTGTTTAGGAATATTTGATTTCTTCCTCATTTCTGAGGGACAACATAGCCCAATATTAAATTCTCAACTGAATTTTTTTGTTGTTTTTGATAGGCTTTTTCCTTCAGTATATATATATTATTACACTGCCTTCTGGACTGCAAAGTCTGCTGAAAAAATCTGTAGTTAAATTTATTGAAAATCCCTTCTATGTGATGTGTTTTCCTCTTGCTACTTTCAGATATTCTCTGTCTTTGATTTTTGACAGTTTGATTTTAGAACATCTTGGTGTGGGTCCAGAATTTTAACTTTCTTGGCTTGCCATACCAATGTTTTTCCCTCAAATTTGGGAACCTTTTCAGTAATTACTTCTTTCAATAACCATTCTCCTTTCTCTCTCTCTTTGAGAACACTGTAATATGTAAACTGGCTCATTCAATTTTACCTCCTAAGTCTTTTGGGATATGTTTATTTTTTCTTTTTTTCATTGTCATACTTAATAATTTCCAATAATCAGTTTTTAGGCTTGCTGATTATTTCTTCTACCTATATGCATTTGGATTAAATCTCTCAAGTAAAATTTTCAGTTCCAAAATTTCTGTATACATGGTCCTCTTTCTTCCTTTTTCTCTCATTTCCTTCCAATGTCTCTCTAATATTCTCATTTCTGTTCACATGTCCTTTACCTGATTTCCATTTCATTCTTTCTCTATGTTTTCCTTCAACTCAAGTATTTAAGAAAGCTTTTAAAAATGTTGTTTAATAAGTTCACAATCTTGATTTCTACAAGGACAATTTCTAGAGAGTTTGTTACCTTTAATATGTCACATTTTCCTGTTAGAACTTTAAAACAGAAAAAACTCCTTATTGTTGAATACCTGTAAAGTGTTTTTCAAAATAATGATAACTTTTAATAGAAATCATAAATGCTACATCCCATAAACTCAATCTTCCCAAATATGGCCCCATAACTTTTAATAGACATTATAAATGCTATATTCTATAAATCCACTCCAGCTAATGTGGTCTTTGTTGACAACTATTTGGAAAAACAGCCATCTCTTCCAGTCTATGCAGACTAATGTAGAAGACCTTCACCAATTACTGGGATGAATCTGTTTTGTTTTTTTGTGAATGTTTTTTGTTTTGTTTTGTTTTTTTGGTACCAGGGATCGAACTCATGACCTCACACTTACTCCACTAAACTAAACCCCTGGCCCACTGGGATGAATCTTAAACCTTAGTAATAGCTTAGGGTGGAGGATTCAAATTCTCCCAGTTCACTTCTGGGTATATATCCTCCTAGGATGTGCAAGTGTGTATGTGTGTGCATTTGGATCTCCCTATATATCTCATTACTTTTAAATGTCATAACTTCCCAAAAAGTTTCACATCAAATTCTTCTCAAAGGTTTACGTGTTCTATTATAGTCTTCTTCCCTAGCACTTGCCCAGAGTTCACTATTGGCTCTGACAGTTTCTGCTGTCCGAGATCCAAGCAATGCCACCATTCCCAGCTTTGTACTGAGTCATCTAAGATAGAAATGAGTTCCCTGGGAGGCCCACAGATAGGTCAAAGGTTGTACAGGATTCTGCACTGTGGTTTTTGGCCTGAGAGGGCACCAGGAATAAGCCACCTCCTCTCAGCTGAAAAGCACGTGATGGGGTACAACAGGGAGAGTCACAGCACTAAAACACTTCCTATGGCTTGAAATTCTTGACTGGGACTTCACCTGGTCACTGGAGATCTCTGACTGGTTTACAGAGCTCCTGTGAAATCATTCTGCTCAGGCACCATTTTCTAATGCTACCAAAAAGGAATGAAAACACAGGTTTATCTAACCACTCCTCTTTCTGTGTCCTGAGGAGATCTGGGATTGCCTCAGGCTTGGCACACTTTATAATCTAGTTCCAATGTCAATTCAAGGAACTTTTCTACTGCAGATTGCCTGCTTGTCTATAAAATTACCAAATTATTCTTTCAGCTTCAATGAAGGAACACTTGTTATAGATAACCCCTCTGTAAATATAAAGCATGAAAGGGAAGTTACATTAATTAATTAACTTCCACAAGGGCACACTATGGTCTGTTTCTCAGGTGAGAATCTCTCTGTCTTCCCTGCACACTTTCCCGGATTGCAGCTTTTCTCTGTTGATTTCTTGATCTTTGCATTCTATCTTTAAGGAGTTTCTCAAAATGTCTGATCAGCCAGCAATGAACTGTACTATTTTACATTAGTGTTATGGATTTGTTTTTTCTTCTTTAGTCATTTCTGTCATATTAATAGATTTGAGAATGACAAAATAAATAGCTGTTACTGTTCTGTTATTGGACGATAGAGGATCAGGGTTATCTTACACAGAAGCTTCTGCTCCTTTAGTATAACCCTGCTATAAGCAACCTAAAAAGTTAAGGAGTATTTTTAAATTAAAAGAATTTGCAGATCATTTTAAATTTTGCCAGCATTATACCTGTCAATAGCTTGAAGATCATTGGCTGGATTCCAAGTAGGATCAAATAAGATAACAACATTGGCACCAACAAAATTGAGGCCTAGTCCACCAGCCCTGGAAGAAACAGAAAAGAGCTCATTAAAAAAGCATCAACTGTTGCACTAGAGCTAAACTGTGCCAAGTTTCTGCAGACAAAACAGTAAATCATACATTAACATCATAAAAGCAGGATGATTAAACCACTCAAATAAGATACCTATGGCATATTCTTTTTCTACTATTCTAGAAAATCCTTGAAAGAGATGATCATTTGAACTGATGCAAATAGGCTGTGCTTGCTACAAGTTTTGGACACTCAAGTACTATTCCTGTAAGCTTTCCCTACATAATTTAAAAAAAGTTTTATTTACATAAAATAACAGAGTGGTACTTAGGTTTACAAACTAATTTGTTTTATGATTCTGGGAAAGACAGCTGCGTTTGTGTTTGTGTCGGGAAGATGGCCATGGTCATGCTTGTCATTCAATGGGAAGTTTGCGAATGGAAGCAAAATTTTGCCAAACGCTTTTGTTTGTGAACCGAATTATTTACAAACACAAGTGTTCATGAATCAAAGAATTACTGAAATGTGTTTAAAAATCGGTCCAGGAACAGAAGGACATAACTATTCCCCCCATGCAGCCCAAACCCTTAAACATTATGCACAACATGAACAGAGGACCTGAAAGGTGGAGACAAGTGCCTCCCACACTGACTCTTCTTGCTTTGTTTCTCCTTAGTCTAGCCCAAGTTGGCTTCTGCAGAATTTAGGAAGCAGGCATTATCCACAGTCACAGGCTAAAAAATGCTCCCCAAAAAAGGGCTGATGCCCCTAAATAATTACATTTTAAAAAGAGTGAAGCCCAAATCAATAATATGAAGACCTATCTAGAATCTAGAAAAAGGCAAAAACTCAGCAAATAGTTAAGAGTTAACAGCAGAAATAAATACAACCAAGCATAATAAAACAATAAGAGAAAAAAAAGGAAATGAAAAGCACAATCTTTATTAACTTTTATAAAGAATGTCACAGATAGACAGAATACACCAATTATCAATATCAGGAATAGAACAGGAGCTATCACCAGCCATTCTGCAACTCCTAAAAGGGTAGGTGAACACCATGCACCATTTGATCTTCATAAATTCAACAAATTAAAAATGGACTAATATCTCAAAAACTACAAAGTATTAAACCCAACTAAATAAAAAAAAAAGACTTGAATAGTCTTGTAGCAACTAAGAAAATTAAATAAGCATTTAAAATGATCATAGGGGAAAAAGTAATCCAAGCCTGATAGTTTCACTGGAGAATTTTATCATTTACCAAAAAATGTGCATCAGTTTTTTGTGGTACCAGTGATCGAACCCAGAGCCTCATATACGCTAGTCAAGCACTGTACAGCTGAGGGAAATCTCCAACCCTTTCCAAATATCATTCTAAGGTAGGGTCTTACTCAGTTACCCAGGCTACTACTGAATTTGCTATCCTCCTGCCTCAGCCTCCTGAGTGATAAGATTATAGGCTTATGCCAAAATGCTCAGTGCAATATCAATTTTCACAAAATCTATTCCACAAAATAAAAAAGAACAATTAACATTCACTGTATAAAGCTAGTACCACCCTGTTCCACTTACCAAAGCCAAACAATTAAAAAAAAAAAAAGGGAGGGGGAGTGAAGAAAACTTTCCATCAGGATTTGCATGAATTTAAATTTTGAAAAATCCTAAAGAAAGTATCAATAAATCTAAAAATACATAAAAATAATTGTATACCACTGCTGATTAGTATTTATTGCAAAAATTCAGGGCAGGTTCAAGATCTGAACCCAATGAATGTAATCTATATTGATAGGCTAAAGAAGAAAAGCCAGCTCACATCAATGGATGCAGAGAAAGTAGTTGATGAAATCCAGTACCAATTCATAATTTAAAACTCTCAGGAAGTTAGAAATTCCTCAGTTCAACAAAGAACATTCCCAAGAAAGCCATAGCTAGCACCACAGTTAGCAGTAAAGGGCTGTACACCTTAAATCTGGAGAGGAAAGCGCTATGTTCCTGCTCATCGTTCTTTAACACCACTAGTTCTAACTGCTGCAGCAGATGAGAAGAAACAGATAAGCAAATCAGGCAGGAAAATTACTTGAGGAGGAACATCTATATAGAAAGTCTCAAAGAATCTAGGGGAAAAAACTTGCTAGAAATAGGTAATCCCAGAAATGCAAGAAGGTACATGATTAATCTAACCACTCCCCCTGCCCAGTTTTTGTATGGTCAGATTGAATATTCCTTATCCAAAGCACTTGGGGCCAGAACTATTATAAACTTAGGAGTTTTTCAGACTTTTGACTATTTGCACATTAGAAGATATTCTGGGGATGGAAGCCAAGTCTAAACCATGAATTCATTTATGTTTCAAAACTACTTTACAAAGAGCTTGAAAGTAATGGTATACATTACATTTTATAATTTTGTACATGAAGCCAAGTTTGTCCATGATTTGCTTGCTAAAGGGGCTAAGGGTTTTTTTTCCCCTCATGTTAAATAAACTAGATGTTGTATATTGTGTTTTGACTGCAATCTGTCACATGAAATCAGGACTGGAATTTTCTACTTGTAATATCATACTAGATTCTGGAGCATTTGTGCTTCAGATTTTTGGATTAAAAAATGGAAAACCAAAAATTGAAAGCAATACCATTTACAACCACACAAAAGAAAATGAAATGCTTAAATATAATATAAAGGAAGCAAAATACATACAGCATTTGTAGGTTGAAAATCACAAAATGTTGATTAAAGAGATCAATGCAGATCTGAAGTGGAAGATCCACATGCTTATGGATTGGAAGGATCAACATAACGATGTCAATTTTCCCAGACTGAGCTATGATAAAATTCCTATCAAGATTATGACAAAGTTATTTTTGTACATTCTAAAATTCATGTCAAAAAGCATGTCACAGAATACCTAATACAATATCGGGGGTAAATAACTTGAAGGAATTACTTTACCTACTGCAAAAAAAATGCCACATGTTCTCTGTTTCCACTAAGCAGAGAACAAGCTGCCATCAATGCTGATTTTGCAGTGAGCTCCCTCTTATACTTTTCTGGCCTCAGAGGGTTGCTTTCTCCATATACTTTTCCCTAGGTTGCTACCTACACACTCACTCATCAAAATGAAAGCCATTCTAGGTATCATTTTTTCTTCTCCATCACTACTCCCCTTTCTCTATGAGTCAATCAATATTAAATCCCGCCAAGTTTATCTGGAAAATGTTTATCTATGAGTCCATTCTCTACTGTCTTATGTCAAACTGTTCTTACACTGACTTACAGGTATTACACTGGTCTCCTGTGATCCCTTCCCTAGGACTTTGAATTCATTCCCACTTTATATAAAAATAGTTTTAAACTTACAGTAAAAACCCCAAGTATAATGGTCCCGTTTGAAAATTCTAAAGTCTTAAGTTCCTACTGATCAGAAACCAACCTATTTCCTCTGCAGCTACTCTGATATTGGTCATTCTGGAACTTCAACCAAAGAACCAGTAAAATATTAAGTTGCCTTCATACACCACCTTCAGATAATTTTCTCTGCACTCTTTCTTACCTGGCTCACTTTGTCCTTCTGGAGTAATTTATAAATTCTGAACTGGATATTCCTCTTCTCTCTGCCTCCTGCTACCCTGCATTTACCACAACGGACAGAAAACTTCCTTTCACATATTTCTAAACAACTCATCCTCTATGTCCATACTTCTTTGGCTATACACTTTAAAGGTGCAGTGACCAAATCTTTTACATCTGTCCTTCTCTACAACCTGTCATCGAATAATCAGTTTCTTAAACCGAACTTTGTACAATCAACAAATGACTCCTACTTTGCTACTCCTAATTAGACCTAGCTCTTCTCTACATGAACTCTAAGCTCCAGCCACTTATATTCTCTGGACATTAGTGTATTTATGTCACTCTCTCAGCCTAAATGTGTTTCTCTAAATCTATTTTTTCATTTCTCTCTCATGAAGTCTTACCTAGAAGGGGCCAGGTTAAACATATGATTCTTCTATAATCTTCATCAAACTTTCTCATAAGGTTGACATGAACCTAAACACTGAATTTGATTTGGTTCTCGTCCTATTGGACTTGTTACCAGAATTGTGGAAAGAATTAAGATTGTGAACCAAGGCACCACTGTAAATGTAATTCACTGCACAATGAGAAAAATGAAACAATAACTGAACTTGTCTTTTGCAAAACATAGCTGAAGAAAATGTATTAATTATATTATTTAAGATTATTTATGTAATGACTTACATAAAAAGTTACTTCTTGGAAACAGTCACAGTAAAACAGGAGTCCTAAGCTTCTTTCTTTGCCTCAGATGGGATTCAGTACAGAAGGCAAAGCCATATGATACAAATAGTCTCCAAAGGATTTCCACAAAGGAATGTAAGAAAAAATTACAAAATACACAGATAAACAACCTACCTGGCAAGAGCCAGAGGGGATACCAACAAGAAAAGTTAGCATCTCCAAGTACAGGAAAGACAGAGCAAAAGTGCCACCCAGAAGGAGGTTTTTTAAAAAGAGTGATTAAAATTACTAAAGAAATGAAAGGCTAGAAATCATAAAATCAGAATGCAAGTAAAATAGGGTAGATTTGGAAAAAATAGGATTCCATAAATTAAAAATACAATCTTTAAAAATTAAAATTCAATTAGGCAGTGGTGCACACCTGTGATCCTAGCTACTCAAGAAGCTGAGGAAGTAGGATCTTAGATTCAAGGCCAGAGTGGACAACACAGCAAGACCTCACATTGAAAATAAGTTAAAAATTCTCTTTATAGGTTAAAAACCAATTTTCTAAGGCAGGCGAAGAAATAACCAGGATCTTTATAGCAGTTCTCAGCATACTGAGCTGAGGGAGAAGGGATGAGGAAGAGATTACCACCTCTATTACAGTTCTGTATTAACACACTTCTTGCTCTGAAACACAACATGCCTTTGTGTGCTTCATAAAACTGAAGGGAAGACAGCATTCTATAATGCATTACGTGAAAGAAGTCATGTAAGAAAAGACTTTTCAAATTCATTGATAGGAAAATGAGAATCCGAAGCTTCTCTTCTTTTGATTTTGTTGTGGGAAATGATGAATAATTTTAGTGGTCCACAGCAGAGTCTCAGTACAAATATATCTTAATTCTCATTTTAAGCCAATTTTTATTCTGCTTTTCTTCATGTATTTTACATGTTTATTTTTAAAGTCTCTTGAAATTCTTTTTGAAAGACAGTGGGAATAAATCTGTAACATTCTTATATGAAAAATTAGGGGTTTATTACTCCTCAAAGGGGTTCCTATAACTTAAGTATTTATATTAATTTAAATCTTCCTCCAATGGGTATTTTCTTTACAAAATTTGAATTAGAGATTCATAAATAGGTGCTAACCCTTGTTTGCCTTTGTAAAATGCCTATCAGTGGCGCTACCCCGTGAAGACACAGTGAAGGCGGAGGCCGAGTTCCTCGAGCTCCCACAAGCTGCTGCTGCAGCGACGCCCAACAACCAGCAGAAAAAGAAGCCTGACAAGATGTGTCCCAACACTACTCCAGAAATATGGGAGGTTGCCTCCATTTTTAAAAAACTGTTATCTTTATAAACCTATATTTAATATAAAGGGAATTCAGTGATAAAGGAAATGAGGAAAAACATTACATGAGACTCAAGATACTGTATTTCAGTTATAATTAATAGCGTTTTGGCTGCCTCCCCTAAGTCAAATAAAACTAGCAGAAGCATATCCACCGAAATTAATCCAGAACAGCTCTAAAATTACTCTAAATCTTAAACACAACTAGATACAAATCAAGCTATCGAGACTGATTTTCTTACATCGTTGAGACAAGGCAAATGTTCACGTCTTGCGTACTGTTGAACTCTTTCACAATCCGGAGTCTTTCCTCCGACTTCGTACTTCCGTCCAGCCGCCGGTAGTCAAGCCCGGACGCCATGCAGTACTGCTGCAGCACATCGAGCAGCTGGAAGGCAGGCAGCGGGGCAGGCAGACACATTCCTATAAGTCCGTAAGCTTCATTCCGTAACAGAGATTGGATTTGCCAACATTCATTAGTGGTGCTCATGATTGCTTTCTTAAAATTCCATGAGCAATCAAGTATTTGGGGGCTGGGGCTGTGCCTCAAGTAGACCACTTGGCTACCACGCACAGGTGATTACTGGTGTGATCACGGGCACCACAAAAAATAAGTATTTTTCATACTGCTGACCCACTGTTTCTCTTCATCATTCTGAAACTTGCTTTAAAATTTAAAAACTTTTGATTTAAAAAAAAATAAAAATAAAAACTTCAACTAAGTAAAAAGAAAATTACTGGTCAAGTCATTTGTAAGAATGCATTTTACTACTCAGGCTATTTTCTTAATCCCCTAAAATATTTTAAATGTTCTACAGAGGACCTTAAGTATTAACAAGAAAATCAACCAAAAAAGTCTTTCTTTGCTACTCGACAGTAACCCTCTGAGCTAACCGATATGTAAGTGTCTGCTTGAAAATTCTGAGTCGCTAACCTCATTGCCACTTACTATCATGTGGTTAAGACAAAATGTGGCTGTCGGTCACTTTGTCCTTTCTGATCTATGCCTCAGGAGTCAGGGCTGATCAGTGAAGAATGCACTCAGATGAAACTCACCTTGGTGGAAAAGGAGAAGAGAAGAACCTTATCTTTGTTTTTCCTGAAATGATTTAAAAGCTGCTGAAGAACCTGGAAATGAAGCACAGATCATCAGTGAACCTGTTCCAATTAAAAGTGTGCTTCATACATATAAATATCACTTGAGTTTTTTTTTTTTGGTACCAGGGATCAAACTCATGACCTTGTGCTTGCCAGGCAGGCACTTATGCCACTGAGCTAATGCACCCAGCTTGAGAATTTCTTAAAAATTATTTGTTATAATGCTAACTGTAGTCGCCTTCACTAATTCCTTTTAGTTTTTCCAAGTTAGAGAAATAAAGCATTAGGTATTACATTAAATGTTATTCAATATCATATTATCAATAAGAAAGTAAAGTTCCTAAAGACTTTATTTTACCTCGTCTGATTTTAGCAAAACGAGGTGTATTTAAATAGATTAATTAATTTCCAAAGTACATTTTCTTTATATCTATAATATGTTAAGCAGCATACCTTTTAGGAAGTATTTAAGTTGTCTCTGGATAAATGTAATAAAGTGAGTTCAATTACATCTATGCTCTAAAAGTCCTGATATTTACTTTTTTTGGAATAATCAGTCAGATATATACCTTTTCTCATTTTCTCCCCTTTGTTTCTATATTTATAGTAAGCCCTGCCTTCCAGATTGGATTTTGACCTCAAAATGTCAGTAACTTGGCCCCACACACAGTGCTATTAGAAAGGAAGCAAACAGTCCAAGCCTTGTATATAACAGAAATACTGTTATTTTTAAACAGCCATTTCCACATCTGGCAATGACAGCTCCAGAACATGGTAGAAAAGCAATCCACAAAGAAGAAAAGGAATTTTCTGTACTAAGTCTAAATGAAAAGATCACTTAAGCAATCTTATTTAATCAATGATAAACATTTAAACTTGCTTTTCTAAGACAGGGTCTCAGTATGCAGTCTAGGCTGGCCCTGAACTCACTATGCAGTCCAGGCGGGCCTTGAACTCTTGGTGAGCCTCCCACCTCAACCTCCCAAGTTCTGGAACTAAAAATGTATGCCGCCATGCTTGGTTTAAACATTTAAACTTCCAAATAAAAGTTTATACCCAATATAACACTCTTTCTTAACAGTTGAGCAAGTGAAGACCTCATGCTAAGCTGGATTCTTACTCTCAATCCCTCAAAAAAAGCTAGGGAGTTTTTTGAATTTGTTTAGGTAAGCAATCAAATGGCAAATGGAACCATCACAACTCAGGTCAACATGTTAATATAACATATAAGGTTTATTTGCATTTACTTTTACATTTCAATGAAATAACTGGTGTTTTAGTTACTTTTGTTGTTGCTGAGACAAAATACCTGGCACTCAAAGTTAAAGGAGGAAAGGTGTTTTGGCTTAGAGTTTGTAGAGGTTTCGGTCCATAGTCATCTTGCTGCAAGACAGGGCAGCATGGCAGAAGGGCATCACAGAGGAGAAATAAAACAGTTTTTCACAGGCAGAAGACAGCAAAGGCAAGCAAGCGACAGCAGCAACTCCTCTCTGCCCCTTTCATGTTCTATCTAGGCTACCCCAGTGTCACACATTTTAGATCCAGTAACCTCTGAAAAAGCACTACCTATGACAAGTAGACACAAGCCACAACAACTGGTTCAGTAAAGTATATGAATGTGAATTTCACTTAAGACAGAAACTTTTAGCTGGGGATTTAGCTCCGAGGCATAAGCACCTGCCTGGCAAGTGTGAGGTCATGAGTTCAATCCCTGGTACCGAAAAAAAAAAAAGGCAGTAACTTTTACATTGATGAGACTTTAAATAACTGAGTAGAAACTACAGAAAAGTTCCATATATATTTCCTCTCCTACCTCACTCCTGCCCCTTTCTCCTATTAATATCTATACAATAAAATTAATATTAGAAAAAGAATCACTTATTTTATAATAATAAAATTTGATAACTATTTGTACATTATGATTAAGTACAGTCTAGAATTCACAATAGGGCTCACTCCTGTGTCATACAGTTCTCAGGGTTTCAACAACTATATCATGACACGCATTCATAATTGTGGTACTATACAGAAAAGTTTCACTGTCCTACAACATTTCTGTGCTATACTATTCATCCTGCTTCCCCCAGAACCTCAGAAGCCACCGATCTTTATATTGACTCCATAATTTATCCTTTTCCTGGGTCATCTAGTTAAAATTGCACAACATGTAGCCTTTTGAGACTGGCTTCTTCATTTAGCAATATGCATTGAAGATTTCTCCATTCTTATCACAGTGTGATCCTCAATCTTCTTATTGCTAAGGGACTTGGTTACTTTTCTAGCTTCTGAGATAAAATCCCAACACCCAAAGTTAAAAGAGGAATGGTTTGGCTCAATTTGTAGAGGTTTGGGTCAGTAGTTGGCTGGCTGTGAGGCAGGATGGGATGGCAGAGCAGAAATAGTTCCTGGCTGGCAGAAGTCAGGAAAGCAATGAAGTAGCATCAATGACCACAGGTCTCTATTGTCCCTTAAATTCTACCCAGGCCACAGGTACTTAGGGTGAGTAGTACTCACATGGGGTAGGGGCAGGCTTCCCCTTATCCACACCTAGAATTATGTCAAACCAATCAGTGGACTTAATTTAGTAATCACACGCCCTGCATGCTAGCACCACACCCTTAATCCCAGCTTCACACATCCTGGAACTCCTAAAAAGTTACACCTATGAATTCACAAGGCTTCAGGAGGACACAAACCGTAACATTCTGGCTCTGCCCTCCCCCAAGCCTCATTGCATCCTTTTATGCAAAAGGCATTTAGTCCATCCCATCTCTCAGAGTTGCCCATGTCCTGATAGTTTCAGCACTGCTGAAAAGTCCAAGGCCAAAGTCTCCTCTGATATTTAAGTCAATATCTTAGCTGCAAGCCCCTGCACAACAGAAAATAAAGTTAAAGACTGCCAACATTCAAGGGCACAAGATAAACATTACCACTCCAAAGCATACAAATAAATATGGAGATACAAAGGAATGGGACCAATGTCATTCTAAAATCCACAGGGTGAGCATTAAATCCTGCAGTTCCTCATGTCCAGCATCCCTGGCAATCTGTGGCAAGTTATGAACTCCAAAGGGCTTCAGTGGTTCCACCCTATGGTACTGCGAATGATTGTAGTTCCATGGTTTCTCGCTTAGGCTGGCTCTGCTCATTCTTCGCTGCTTTCCTCAGATGATCCAGATTCCTGCTTTCTCCAATCTTCTGAGGTTCCCACTGTACCTTGGGCTTCACACTCACAGCTTCACAAAATGCCCTCTCAGGAGCACAACCTCTGGCCTCCCAGGTCTCCTTCTGGAATTTGGGCAGCAGCCATCCTGACCCCATAATTTTTGCGTTCTGCATACCCCTAAAATTAGCACCATGTCAATGACACCAAGGTCTGATGCCTGTTGGAGCAGTACCTAGGCTTCTCTCTCTCTTGGTTGTAGGTTCTAGTGCTTGACTGCTGAGCACTCTGAACTCAATCTCAAGGAACAAAATCTCTAGGTTTCCACCATTCTGCAACATAGTCCTCTGGGAATCTCTTCTCAAAGTGAAGTCTTTCACTTCTGCAAATGTGAAGCTGCATAGGGTGGAGTTCTGTTGGTTCTCATATCCTCACACTACCTTTTCTATTGTTCTGTTCCTTCTCAGCTCCCAAGTACTCTGTTCTATCTTTACAGTCCACAGCTTTCCTGGACCTTCCTTTCTGGCCAAACTCAAAACATTTTAAATAATTCTGCTGGGCTCTCTGCTCTTGAATCTCAACACACCTGGCTAAAAGCTACTAACAGTAGTAGTCATGCTATCACCTCAACATCAGACTGTCTTGAAATTTCTTCTGCATTAAATATTCTTTGATGAGAATATTTTGAGGAGAAGCTACCAAAACTGTCTACTAAGGTGCCCCTCTTGCATTCTCACCAGGAATGAATGAGCGTGCCTGTGTCTCCACATCCTCACCTCCATTTTGTGCGGCCAGTGTTCTGAATGTGCTGGCTTTTGGCCATTCCAATAGGTGTACAGCAGTATTCTGTATTTTATTTTGAAATTACTTAATGTCATATTACATTGAACATCTTTTCATGTGCTTCTTTGTCATCTATATTTATTTTTTGATGAGAAATCTGTTCAGATCTTTTGTCCACTTTTAAATTTTGCTGTGTTCTTACTGCTGGTTGTAACAGTTCTTTATATATTTTACCAATTATTTTGATACCAAACTTATTTTATCAATCTTTTCTCCTGGTCTGGGGCTTGTCTTTTCATTTCTCTGAAGACAATAGCATATTAAACCAAGGATATACTGCACAGAAAGCTACTTTTGTTGTTTGAGATGATACAATACATCACTTGTAATCCGAGATATTTTCAAATATTCCATAGTAATAGTATTGTACTGCGGGCAAGTAGCTGTGGACTGATTCTCCTGTCACTGAGAACCAGACAGCCCTAGACACCACTGAGTTTGTAAACAGAAAGGTGACAACTTGGCAGGGGGCAAAAAGGGTGAGCAGGATATGGGCTCTGTTGAGCTAGAGAATGAGCTATGGGCATGCTCAACTGGAGTCCTAATGTCACATGTATGTGGGAGGTGTCTGTAGATGAGAGAAGGGGAGTGAGAATTAACTTGAGCAAAGCAGGGTAACCTTCACCAGAAATGTGCATAAAGGATCCAAACACAAGGTAACTATCAGCATTTAGCTGGCTCAGATTTTCTCATAGCTTCCCTCAGTCTCCGATTACACTTCCTTTCCCTGTATCTTTTCTTCTGCTCTCACAAATATTCATTTAAACCTCCTCTATACCAGCCCTCTGCTCAAAATAAAAAAAAAAATATAATATCACAGTGATATGCTCTTCACTCCGAGTGGTGTTGGTGTTTGTCTACCTCTTCCTCTAATCACTGTCATTGTTCTTTCTGTTTTATCTGATTGACCCCCTGCCTTCTCCTCTTCCCTCTCCTCCTTCCACCCATATCTCAGTCTACCTGTCAGTAGTAGTATACTATGATATATATAAGGGTGAAATTGTTAAAGTAATTTTCAATGTACATGAGAATGTGCAGCTAGATCTGTTGAAACTGACACAACAGATAGGAATTTCTCTTATGAAATAGTAACCTGGCCTGATCCTTCCAAACTGAAAAAGGCAAAAAGGTAAATAAACACCAAAAAGCAAGATCACATCACTAGAAAGAGACATTAATGAAAGATACCATACTACTACGAGAATTGCTCCATTCTAATTGATCCCCTGTCCTCAACACACATGCACACACCAACCTATGAGGAAACAAGACAACACATGCCCCCCCAAAATTCCCAACGCTTCCAAAACTGATCCAGTGTCACTCAGGGGAAGAAAATCCAAAAGCTACTGGTTGAATTGTATGACATGATTAAAGAAGCAGCAGAAACTCAGAGAGCCTGAAGATGATACACCAAAAAACAAATAATGGACTAAATAAACAAACTGATCAGTGAGTTTAAAGAAGATTCAAATTTAAAAAATAGCAGGGCTAACCAAAATAATTTACAATATGAATGATCAATTTAGCAAAGAATTAAAGAGTCCATGAAAAGGTACCAAAAAGAAATCCAGGAGATGAAGAATTCTATTGAAAGTAAGGGTGGAAAAATGATCAAAATGAAAAGAAAATGTCAAAACTAGAAAAGACAGGTCTGACGCATATGAGCATATACTCAGACATATCTCAAAAACAAAAATAGAACAAAGAAAATGGGCCCAATGGCTTCTAGAGGATGCAAATAGTAACCTAAGACTAACTGTTCCTAATTAAAGAAGATAGCACAAATGGCATAAAATTTGTTCACAAAAATCATAGCAGAAAACTTTTCTTCAAGTATGAAGAAGGAACTCAGCATACATTCAAGTGAGGCATATAAAACCCCAAATATCCACAAGCAGAAAAGAACTTCTCCATGACACATTGTAGCCAAAATTCCAGAATTCCAACACAAGGCCAGAATCTCAAAAGGAATAGAGAAAAGCAGGAAATCATTTACAATCCATTAGAATTATAGCAAACTTCTAAATGCACATCGTAAAGGCTATCCTTCTATGACAAAAAACATCTTAAGAAACTCATGACTACTAAACCAGTTCTCCAAAAAATTTTCAAGGCTTTCCTACACAAAAAGAAATGAAGCCAATGATTCCAAAAAGTCTAATGGAATAATAAAACAAGGAAGGAAAGCAGTTAAGCAAAAAGGAAAAACAAAGAAATTGACAACAGAAAAATAGTCCAGTAATTGACAGGAGTAAGTCAATACCTTCAGGAATAATTCTAAGTGTCTCAATTCCACAATCAGAAAACACAGAGTGGCAGACTAGATCAAAAAAGTAAAAAGAACAGAATGTTGTACACGAGACACATTTTAACCCAAGTAGCTATCCGATTTTCAAGGAAGAACAAAACTCATCAGAAGGGGCAAAGAATGTCACTATATATTGGTTAAGGGAACAGTTTAACGGGAAGAGGAACAACTATCAATACATACACACTGAATACCAGCACTCCCAGTTTCACATAAAACAAATACTACTGGACATAAACATTAACACCATCATGTGAGAGACTCAATAATCACTTTCACCAAGAGACAGATCAACCACGAAAAAAAGGACTATTACAGTTGAACCAAACCTTCAAACAAAGATATCTACAGATAATAGTTATCTGTGTTCTATCTTAGAACAACAAAATACACATTCTTCTCAACAGCACATAGAACTTCCTCCAAAATAGACCACATACTAGCTCATAAAGCTTGTTTAAATAAATTCAAAGAATGAAAGTTATCCCATATACATTATCAGACCACAGTGCAATGAACTAGAAATCAACGGCAAAAACAAAAAACACATAATTTTCCAAATAGAGATTAAATAATATATCCTTGAATAATCAATAGGTAACAAGGAAGAAATGTAATGATTCTTAGACTCATACGATAGTGCCAGTATGACATATTGGAACCTATGGGACACACCGAAACCCATCCTCGGAGGACAGTTTATTGCTGTGAATGCCCACACTGGCAAAAAGGAGCGAGTTCCAAAAAATAACCATATGATATACCTCAAGTCCCCTCAAAAACAGGAATAATCAAACCCAAGCTAGTAAAAAGGGAAAAAAACCATAAAGATTGGAGCATAAATTAATGAAATTGAGATTAGGAAAACAACACCAAACAAACAACCAAAAAAAATCAATGAATGAAAGAATTATTCTTCAAAAAAATAAGGAAGAAGGAAAGAAAAGACCTTATCAATGTAATGAGAAATGAAAATGAAATCCACAAGACACCACTGAAATACAGAATATTATCACTATTTAAAAGCCAAGTTAAGAAAATCTAAAAAAGACAAGTAGATTCAAAGATACTAATGAAGTACTAAAACTGAACAAAGTAGAATAAAAATTCCAAACAGTCCCATAATAGGTAATGAAATTGAGATAATTAAAAAAAAAAAAACTAAGTAAGAAAAGCCTAGAACCAATGAATTCACTGCTGAATTCTGTAAGAGCTTCAGGGATGATTTAATGCCAATATTTCTAAACCTCTTTAATACAATTGAAAGGGAAGGAGTATTTCTAAATCCATTCCTAGAAGCTAGCATTACTCTGATTCCAATACCAAACAAGCACTCAAATAAAAAAGAAAATTATAGACCAATATATTTAATGAACTTGGATACTAAGATCTTCAACAAGATACTGGCGAACAGAAGACAACGAATCCTTTAAAGATTTTACATCATGGCCAAGTAGGCTTCATCACAGGGATACAAGGGCAGCTCAACATACACAAATCAATAAATGTAATTCACCACAACAATAGAAACAAGGACAAAAATCACATGATCACTTCCATAGATGCAGAACAGTCTTTGACAAAATCCAATATTCATTAATGAGGAAAAAAACCCCAATGAAAATAAGTACAGAAGGACCTTATCAAAAATTTTTCTTGGTGGGGCTGGGGATTTAGCTCAGCGGCATAAGCGCCTGCCTTGTAAGCAGGCAGTCGTGAGTTCGATCCCTGGTACCGATAAAAATGAAAAAGACAAAAAAAAAAAATTTTTTAAATTTTTCTTGGTACTGGAAATCAAACTCAGGACCTCGTGCTTGCAAGGCAGGTGCTGTGGCACTGAGCCTTATCCTCAGTCCAAACCTTATCTCAAAATGGTGAAAGTCATGTATGACCATCACACTGCCAACATTATATTAAATAGGGAAAACCTCAGAGCTGTCCCTCCAAAAGCAGGAGGAAGACAAGGACATCATCATCACCACTCTTCTTCAATACAGTGTAGAGGGGTCCTTTTTCCCTGCAGCCTCACTAACATTTGTTAATATTCAATGTCTAACAGCCATTCTTTCTGGAGTAAGATGGAATCTCAGTGTTTTAATTTTAATTTCTCTCATGGACAGTGATGCTGAACATTTTTTCCTGTGCTTCTTCTGAGAAATGTCTATTCATTTTGGTTGCCCATATTTGGATTGGGTCTTCTATTTTGAGGGGTTTAAATTTTTTGAGTTCTTTACATATTCAAGATGTTAGTCTTCTATCAGAGGAATAGCTGGCAACATGTTTTTCGCACGCTATGATTCGTGTCTTCATTCTGTTGGTTGTTTCCTTTCCTGTATAGGAGTTTTTAATTTGATATAATACTATTTGTTGATTCTTGATGTTATTTCATGTGCAACTGGGGTTCTGTTCAGAAAGCTTTTACCTATGCCTATGCCTTCAGGAATCTTACTTGTTTTATCTTCTGGCTGATGAAATGTCTCTTTTAATATCCAGGTCTTGAATTCATTTTGATTTTATTTTAGTACATGATAAGAGGTCCACCTAGAGACAATCTTACGCACATATATAGCCAGTTTTTCCAGCACCATTTGTTAAAGAGGCTGTCTTTCCTCCAGGGTGTGGGTTTTTTTGTTGTTGTTGTTGAGCAATATGGACAGCAAACATATATTCATAAATATAAAAAATACAAAATTTTAATCCAGTCTCTTGACTACTTGCATTCCTAACCTATTTCATTAAAGTTAGAGGTCCTGATGAGCTTATCTAGATTAAATACTATAAGTATTTCCAGAAAAAACAGAACTGACTACTTTGAATTACTGTACTTTCTTTTTTATTCCTTTTGCCAAAAGAAATAACAGATTCTTTTCTTAATTGTAACATGAAGTTGAGAACTGTTATGTAAAAATCTGTCAGTCCATAAATAAAGATTGCAGACAGCTGTTAAGGGGTTAAGCAAACTCACTTTGGTGCAAGAAGGCAAACGGCTGCCAGCTGCTGTCACCTGCAACACCAAGGAGTCAGGGTCAAAGCTGGAGAATCAGACTCATCTCCAGACCCCTTATTCACAAACAGATCATCAAGAGCAGCACAACAACAGGTCACTTTCCCTGTCATACGGAATATCCCCTTGCAAACTTACTACCTCATGGCAAGGAAAAGCAAGAGGTAGAAAGTGTCAGTAGAGAAAGGAGGCTTTGACCACTTGGACGCTACAAGAAGTCCCTTTTTCTAACTGTAGGTGCATGCTTTACCTCACCCTGCTGGTTAGCAGGAACACGTAAAAAGCTTCTTTCTTAAGGACAAGTTATTACTTATGAAGAAACAGCACACACTTTAAAAGGGCACAAACCCAACACACTAATAAGGAAAGTGAAATACACTTGAGACAACCACTACTGAGAACCAGCTGCACACACAACTGAACCCCGGGTTCAGAGTGAACTGGTCAGCCTGCCATCAGCAATGCCTGCTATCCAAGCCACCACCCTGTCCTGACCTCAGGACACCTGTTCAGATGAGCAGACATCCAGCCACATCTCTACATGTTTTCTATAGTGTCTGTCCATATGAACCCTAAAAACAAGAGCACTTGCCTTCATTTTCCCACTGTATTTAGGATCAGAAAGTGTTTCAAAGGCGGCATCTTTGCTCTTCTGAACAAAATCTGGGAATCTGGAAAATACTTGATCACATATCCTTTTGATAAGAGTTTCCTTGTGCGAGAAAAGAGAAGAAAAGATTTCAATTTAACAAATTTAAACCTGCATAAATTAAAACCATGTATTTTTTTAAAATGTTACTTGGAAGATTTGGTCTTGTCTAAGATTAATAATTCAGAAAATCTTTAAGTGATATGTTCAACACATTTGACTTTGATAAATTCTCAGTAATATGGCTACTAATTTTTTTTTTTTTTTGTCTTTTGCATCTTTATCGGTACCGGGGATCGAACTCATGACCGTCTGCTTGCAAGGCAGGTGCTTATGCTGCTGAGCTAAATCCCCAGCCCCTACTAATTATTTTTTTAAGATTTCCAAAATAAGGAGGGCAAATACTCCCAAAAGAGTAAAGACTACTATCAAAAAAATTAAATTCTTATTAAATTTCATTTTAACAGAATTGACTTATAAAAAATATGAAATCATTACAAAAAAGCATTTGAAAGGACTTTTTACTTATGTTGTATTCTAAATATGACACAACTAAAAACTCAAGTAAATGATTATATTTAATCCTAAACTTTGAGATTATGATTTTTGCCAGTTTGGGAAATAGGTATAAGATTTAGTATATAGATTACTATAAGATCTCTTTTTAACCAGATTAGATAAATGAAATTACATACCTATTTACTCAAATAAGACTATAAGGGAAAATAAATATGTGAACATTATTAGAGGCATATAAAAAAGTTACTAAGCTTAACTTTTTTCTGTTTAAGAATATAGGGCTAGGGATACACCTCAGCAGCACAGCACCTGCCTGGCAAATAAGAGGTCGATTTCCGATACCAAAAAAAAAATGGAAAAAAATGAATATAATGCTACACTTTCCCTAATATCTAAATTTTTATTTATTTATTTACTGTGCTGATGATTAAGTCTAGGACTTCCCCTAACATTAAGCTACATCCTCCAGGCCTCAGAGATTTAAATTTTTAAATTAACAAGTCAGTTTTCTCTTAAATTTAATACATAAACCTCCAAGATACTTAACTAAAAATTTTTACAGCAAGTATCATTTATACACCAGCAGCCTCACAAAGAAATGTGGAAAGCCAGTCCACACCTGGTGTCTGGAGGTGCTGGCAGCCTGCAGCAGCGCAACATGGTTTGCCACCTTCTGAAGGACTGCAAGGTAGCTGAAATACAAGGCTTTCACAGCTTCGCCATGTGAATTAGTCTGTAACCGAAGAAAAAATAAGAGAAGGCTATATTATTGTTTTCATCATGACATATACCACTTATAATAACAGTTCTTACTTTGAGCCAAATAAAGCCTAAGAAAATGACAGTCAACCATTTACACAAAGTATCTGAGTCACAAATGTGGAATCATTTTTGGTGAATCACTGGACAGTGTTATTTTTAATAACAGTGGAGACAAGGTCCTCATTCTGGAATGTGTTGATCCTGATGGTGCACTGTAATGGAAATGCTGCCACTACATGGTTATTGGTGACAGAATATGATGCAGTGGCAATGCTAAAAGGACTCCTCTCTCTGTACTAGTTTTTATAGGAAACGGGGCTATTATAAAACTGGGAAGTGGCTAATCACAGTAGAATAAATGAGGTGAAATAAAATCTATCTACTGGATCCCTATATATACCTGGGTATGTGACATGAAACAGGTGAAACAAAAGAGCAGAAAACAGAAAGTAGAAAAGTATAAGTGAACTTTGTTTCTAAACTTTCTCTATTGGTAACAGCACCTGTTAAACTGCAGTATATCTGTCGGTATCACAGCTTACAATGCAAGAGTGAGTTATTTTACTACTAGTACAGAAGGGCCAAATCCCCGAAAATGAAATTTCACGATACAAGTAGGGTACTCCCCAATAAAAGCTAAAAGAGAATATATCAATTTGAAGTTTAACTACAAAAATTAATTTCTGAAGCTATATTTGAACACAAAATTTGTATGTGGTTGCTATTTAATACTGTAAAGAGTTTTTAAAAAACTATTCTTTTTAGAAATTTATAGCTTTTAAAGTTAAAGTGCTTCTTTGCCAAAAGCAAGATGGCAAAGATAAACTGAAACACTTGCCTTATAACAACAGTTTCTCCTTTTCCGGCCACTGTTACAGGTACAAGGCTTAGAAGATTGAAGGATCAAAGTCACATCTTCTGTTTCTAACACTGTTTGGTAGACAGCTTTCTGGAAGTCTGTCAGAGAACAATAAACCATCTGGCAAGATAAAATACAAGGCAATCACTAGTATGTTTTGTTGCAATAAGAATAATACAATGTACATAGGATTTAATAGACTGTAATAGTGAGAATTGTTCATAAACTATTTTCCCTCTAGTTATATTATGATAATTTTTCCCAATTATCTCCTTTTTTTTTTTTTGCTTTCTACTTCACTGTAGGCTACACAACTTATAATTTAATTTTCAAATAAAATCATACTTTGTTTTTAATCAAAAGAAAATATTTAGAAAGTTAATTGTGTCCTTTTTCATTTCTCAATATGCTCTGGGTCTTCATAAGGTTCTATTAGTCCATCATGCAAATAAATGATTAAAGTTTAAGATAAAAAATTGATAAGGAAAAAGACAATACTTCAGAATAATGCTATGAATAATAAATGCTTACTGAAATAGCTGGAAAACTCCTTGATTATTGCAAACTAAAAATACAGTTATCTATATTTAATATCTTGCTATAAATTTTCAAGATTAATAAAGATAATGATTAATAAAGTATACATAAAAGCACAAGCAGGTATTTTATGTCTAAATTCAAAATAAGAAATTTGATAGAGCAATACAACTAAATTATTATACAATCTATTTTGTATTTTTCATAATACTACAAATTATTTTTTCTCAATAATATTCCTTCTTATATGTATCAAAACTCATACTGAACAATGAGTTCTGGGTTGCAAAAGAGGTTTTATGTTTTGCACCTGTTCAGTAAGTTTTTAGTCCACCAAGTTAAGACAAAAACATACTCAAGTGCCATAATACTATAAATTATTAATACAACTATTTGTAATTACAGCCATAAAACTAAACACACCCATGGTAGGGCTTTCAAGAATGTGAACAAGAAATAAAAATCATCTACTTGTAAGTATTTATATGCCACTACAAAGAATATTACTGCAAAAAATGACAAATGTGCACTGAACAAATCTAAGGATGTCTACCTAAAATGATACTAGATTTAAACATGCATAAATAAAATATACTATCTTGAATCTCAATCTTGAATATAAAAGTACATATCAGAACAAAAAGAAACAGTGTAACATGGTATCACTGATTAACGTAGGGAGTTTTGAATTGCTATTATTAAACATTTTAACATTTACTAAACATCTCTCTTGCATCATGCATTTCAGAGCAGTCAAGCAAGGTAAATCATTTCCATTTAACAAGTCAAAGTATCTGTTTGACAGTCAGCAAACTGCTTCAAGTTACAAAACTTTTAAGTAGAGAAGTCAGGATTCAAACTCATAGTATTTGATTTCAAAGCCCATGTTTTAAAATGCTATGCATAATTTTCTTCATATATTCATATTTTTATTGTTCCCACATTAGCAAATAATATACACATAACTGTGCAAAACACTTTATGAAAGTATGTATTCATGAACTATCTCAATACAGTATTTGCTTTAAATATCAAATGTCATATATACTATCAATTTCCCTAACTTGTGTATTTATATCAAATCTCTTTTTAAAGTAATAATCCACAAAATATCCTACATTAGAAGACATTTGATAGGATTACCTTTACTTGGGGCAACCTTAATTAGATTCACTCACAGCACTTTATAGAACCATTATTCCATTGCATTATCAAGAAAAATCACAAAATTTAAAACTAGGAAAGAAAAATTAGGAATGAGGCTCAGGTCAAGTGACTGCCTATCATGCATGAAGCCCTGAGTTTGATCTGCATAAATAAATTAATTTTTAAAATTCACTATTAAAGAAAACTATTTTTAAAATTCTATTAAAGTTAACCCAAATTTTCTTAAGCAATTAATCAGCTTTTTCACAAAATTCAAAAACTTAAGTTAGTTTTATAACTGTAAATATCACTGTTAGTAAAACAAATCTAAAACTCAAGCTCTTAATCCCTTTGGTCCTACAACTAGATTTATGGCTACACATAACGGGTCACAGAGGGCAGACCATACAGAAAGGACAAAGTGAAACAGAAAACACACTAAGGACAGAAGTTTTTCCTACTTCCTTGAGGAATAACTATACCAAAAGTTTTAAGAAATGAGTCTAATGTATGCTGTGGTTTGGATCTTAAATGCACCTACAAAGGGTCACACACCAAAGGCCTGGCCCCGGCCTGGGGCACTGCTGGGAAGCAGCAGAACTTTCAGGAGGAAAGCCTCCTCGAAGGAAGGTCAGTGAGGCCCGGCTCTTAAGGGAGACTTTGGGAATCTAGCCCCTCCTGTGTCTTTTCTGCCTGGCTGCTCCCGACCAAGCCGCACTGCCCATCGCAGGCAGGGTTTTCACTCACCAGCCCATAACACACCAGAGCAGCTTCATGTTTCCTGAAGGATGGGCCCAGTGAGTAACACAGCCAAGAGACTACAGACCAAAACGTCATATACCAAGAGCCAAAAGAAATCTTTTTAAGTTGAGTTAGATATTAATTGTTCATTAAGATATTAAGAATTAAGCATTTGTTACAGCAACAGAAAGCTGACTAACACATACACTAACAATAAATCTGTCAACAGATCAGTAGCCAACAGATCAGTAAAGTTAGGAAAACAACTGGGCTAACAACGTTTCCTGAAATTTTGCAGATAACAAACTTTTTCCACAAAAATAACAACACAAAATTACAGTACAAAATACCAGATACAGACTTTCTCTTAAAAAGGAATTTTTCAAGAAGAAATAATAAAATGTGACAAAAATTGATTACACACACAAACGCAGCTCTTACCCGATCTTCCTTCTTGGGCAACTGACCACTGATGAGCGCCTTGGTGCGCCGGAGGAGACAGCCAGACATTCGTGCTGCAAGTCTGCGCATGGCCCTCCGGCCAGTGGCCAGTTCTCTCTTTGTCGCTGTGTGCTTCTGACCATGTTCTACGGGGTCCGAAAACTGCTTCTGAAAGTGGATCCTGCTACCTAAAAGTCCTGGCACAGCCCTTTATAAAGGCAGATAGAAAAATTGAGAGTTTAATAGGTTACCTAAAAAGAAAAACATTCATTTATCTTCTAAGAAATATACCCAAGTCACCTGTTTATTAAGAGCAAAATCAAAAGTCAAGAAAACAGAATTTTTTTCTCTATGAGTTAAGCTATAAATAAAGATGATGATGGAATTGGCATCTTCTGATTTACTTCAGAAACCAAACTAACATGAAGACAGGTTTTCATGGGACTGTCTACTTGGTAATATCATCAAGTATTTGGTATACTTGATAACAAATACCATCAAGATTTGGTATACTTGGTAACAAGTCTTTCTGCAAACAGTTAAATGATCATTGCTGTTTTTGTTTTCAGAAACTAACAGCAAACACGGTAGCATTAAGCTAAAGAAGTATGTATTTAGTAATTTTAAAAAAGAGTAAAACCAGGGCTTTCACTCACCAGTCCATAACACACCAGAGTTCCTTCATGTTGTTCTGGAGGATGGTCCCGGTGAGGCCGATGCGGATGTCACACTTCAAAGCTTTCATGGCCTCTGTCACTCTTGCCTTTGGATTCTTGATTCTGTGAGCTTCGTCCACGATGACGGCTGACCACTCCACACTGTCAAGGAGTAATGAAAGGCAAAATAAAATTCAGTCTAATGGGCTTTAAGTGAGCTGTTTTCTTTACGCAAGTTTTGCAGGCTCTTTGTTCCTTCTTCACTTGATGATTCTTACATCTAATTAAATTAACTAATCATAGCCCACAATAATATAATGCGTATGAAGAATATACAAGGTACAGAGATTATGTTTAAATACAGAAGAATCAAACAATTCTCCTTTAAATATCATTAAAAACAACAAAGGAACTTTTAAAGTAACAATGACAGAAATAAAGAAGACGTAAGCTTTGCAATGTTAAATCTGAATGAAAAAATACCAGTATAGACTTACGATGTTTTTTAAAGTTAGCATACATCACTCTGTTTACTACAAAGATTTAGTATCAATTGTCATCCTAGTAGCAATCAGCACCAATACTGGTTCATCTCCTAAAATGATGCAGAGTACCACAGCAATATAGAGAAATGGCTGGCTTCGGGCAGGCAGCATGGGAAATACTGAAGAGTGAGACAGCACAGATGTGTCTGGAGACAAATGAGGACACATCCAGAGGATGCAGGAACTAACTCAGTGCACACACTTCAGCACTGGGAGTAAGGACTACCACTGTGTGTAGAACACTGAGCACACAAATGTTTTAGGAGCTTCACAAAAACAATGTAGACCTTACCTCACACTGTACATAAATGTTAACTTGACACAGATAGGAGATTTAAATATGAGGCAAAATTACAACACTCACAAAATATAGAAATAAATCCTTATGGTTCTGGGTTAGACACAAACTTCTTAGATATGATACCAAACTCATGGCCAATAAAAATATTTTTGCCAAAGTTGAGCTTCATCAAAGTTAAAAACTTTCTCTTCCATTGATACCATTAGAGGACAGATAGGAGAAAATATTTGCATATAACACTCAGATAAAGAACTATTACATGGAATATATAGAGAACTATCACATCTCAATGCAATACAAGACAACCAAATAAAAGATAGGCAAAATATTTTTTCTTTTTTTGGTCTTTTTGAGACAGGGTCTTGCTATGCAGTTCAGGCTGGCCTTGAGCGCACTTTGTAGCCCAGGCTGGCCTCAAACTCACAACAATCCTCCTAAGTCAGCCTCCCGAATGCTGGGATTACTGGGGTGCGCCACCACACCCTACTAGGCAAGATTTTAATAGACATTTTCCAAATGTCTTTTTGAAGATACACAAATGACATAAGCATGTCTACAGTAATATTCAAATTCGTAAAACGAAAGAATCAAGAATTCACTTTTTAAATTTGTAGTTAATCTAATTAATGACATGCTTTCCTTTACAAAAGAACACCATCAAGTAGAGAAAAAATAATAAATTGGAAAACCCCGTTTGTAACACTCAGTAATATAACCAATTTGGCAAGAATAATTTGCATATGCTAATACTTCTAAGTAAAAGGGCTGAGGGATCAAAAGACTTAAAAATATCATCTCATTTTTCCTGCAGGTTTTATAATTTTCTTAAAGTTGAAAAAAGGTGAAGCCTTCAAGAGCAAAAGGAGAAAAGAGCTACAAAATTGCAGAAGTTGGAAAGAAAATGGACAAGATGAGTTACAAAAGTGGAGAAGGCGATATCTTTGCCAGCGGAGGAGAAAGCAAAGAAACAATCTGATTGGTTATTCAACTCTTAAAAAGCTACAAACTTGCAAGGCAGGCGCTTATGCCTCTGAGCTAAATGGGGCTGGGATTTAGCTCAGCAGCATAAGCACCTGCCTTGCAAGCAGGCAGTCGTGAGTTCGATCCCTGGTACCGATAAAAACAAAAAAGACCAAAAAAAAAAAAAAAAAGAAAAAGCTAGAAACTGGTGGTACCAGATACCTCAACAGCGACAAATCAGTGACAACAGTCTGTTTAGGGAGCTCCTAGACACCCATTCCCACTCCACAAAACACTTGGATCAAGTTATTGTAAAGCTCAGCAGCACGAGCACCTGCCTGGCAAGTGCAGTGTGAGGTCCTGAATTTGGTTCCTGGTACCAAAGGAAAAAAAATTGGACCTTCACCTACCCTAATGCCCCAAAATTCCAAACCCACATATTTACCTGAGAAGTGAAAATATAAGTACACAAAAGGATTAGATACAAATATCTCTTAAAATTTTATTTGTAGTAACCCCAAACTGAGCATGGAGTGAGCTGGTTTCCCCTGTAAGCCCTTCATCATATCTGTCTCTTTAAATCTTATGCATATATTACTTTGATATAAGTTGAAGTAAAAAGAATAATGGTAATAACAAAAAGATATATACTCCATCCTATGTGGTATGTTTATTCTCTGGATCATCTGTGATAAATGTACAGAGCATTACTCTCACAAAAATAATATTAGTCCTCATAAAATATAAATTATTTCATGTATCTCAAATTAATGCCATTTGAGCTAACAAATGATAAAATAAATATGAAAAACTTGTAATGTTCTCTCTTAAAAATATATGACTCATGGTTATATAATTCTTGTTTAATATTTATAAAAGTCACAAAATAACCACTGGAAAAAATATCTTCAGCAACTATTATGTGCTAAATTTATAATAAGCACTGTACTATAAAATTAAAGATAAAATGTACATTAATAAGCTTATAGTTTAAAAAGAATTAACATATAACTGGTACTACAATAATTTATTGTATTTGTCTAACTGCAAGCCATCCTTTTGGGTGGTACAGTATACTGGCTAGAGTTAGATGGTTAATGTTTAAATCTCATGTCCATCATTGACTTAACTGTGTAGTTTTGGACAAATTACATAACCTGCCTGACTCAGATTAAACTGTCTTCTGCCAGCATCTATTAAACAGTAACATGCTAACTTGTTGGTTTATAAGTGGTATAATATCAAATCTCAGACTTGACAAAAAGGATAGCTCTATATTCAACCTTACCAATGTGAATGGTCTAAATACCCTGGTTTATATAAAGGCAATGCTTATCATTGGGCTGGGGATGTAACTCAGTGGTAGAGCAGTTGCCTAGTAAGCACAAGGTCCTAGGTTCAATCCCTAGGACCGTGGGGGAAAAAACCCAACACTTAAACAAAATGAACAAAAGAGCAAGATTCAACAACAAAGAGCTCCATTTCAAAACTAACAGGTACGCTGAAATATAAAAATAAGGATTACACATGCAGCATGCATAAGACTTTATTGGTAATGTTGACTTTTTAAACAAAACATCAAGACAGGAATTAATACTAGAAATGAAAAGGAATACATCTTTTTAAATAGAAGAGTTAATTCATCAGGCAAACACAATCATAAATGCACGTGTACCTAGTAACCCAGCTTCAAAATACATGAATTGAAACCTACAGAATGGAAAAAAGAAAAAATCTATTTCAACTCTTCTCTCTTAGAAATTGTAAAGCAACCCAATACAAAATCAGTAAATACAGAGAACATCTGAGGAACCCTTAATTAACTAGATTTATTGATATTTACAGAATACTATACTCAATATGTAGAATCGAGTATTACACAAATCAGAAAACACAAGTTACATCAAAATGACTAAAAACAGACTGACAGTAGTAACACTGATAAAGACACACAGCAACCGAGCTGTCAGGAAAATGGTACGGTCACTCTGGAAAAAGACTTGTCTGCTTCTGTGAATTTAGACCTTTGCGGGGTCAAGGATAAGCGCAGTGGTACAGGCGTCTGCTTGGCATGTACAAGATCCTGCTTTTGGTTTCTGGTATCAACAACAACAAAAACTTTAAACAGTCGCTTACCCTAAAACCCCAAAATTCCACTCCCACATATTTACCCAAGAGAAATGAAAATGTAAGTACAAAAAAGGACTAGATACAAATATCCCTTAAATTTTTATTTACAGCAACCCCAAACTACAAAAACTAAATACCCACACTCAAATAAAATGAAATACAGCTTAGTTTAAGGGAACAGTTGGTGGCCCCAACATATGAGCTGTATGACTCCTCACAGAAAATGTTTTCCCATCCCTGATCAAGAATAAGCGAACCATATACAGTTGTCTGAGTATCTGAGAATGATTGACCCAGGGTCAAAATATACAGATGACTGAGTCATATAAAATGTCATGGTATTTGCACATGACCTATGTGTCTCTTTCCTTTAATCTCTAAGAAAAATGCAATGTAAATAGTTGTTATAGTGGTGTAGCGAATAATGGAAAGAAAAAAAGGACCTACATGTTTAGTACAGATGTGTTTATTTTTACAAATATTTTTGATCTGCATTAAATTGAATACCTGGATATATAACTCAGGATCATAAAGAGTCAACTATACTTAAAATCAATATTACTGCCTACAAATTAAAGTTTATTCAAGTTGATTAATAAAATTCTTCTAATGGGTTTGATCACCAAGTTCTGGAAAAGCCTGATCTTATTCATTCCATCATTTTCTATATAAGCTGCTTTATCCAAAGCCACATAGCTAATTAGTGACCTTTTAACTCTTAAATATATTTCCAGTTTATAAAATCTGTGAGACACATGCTGAGAGTTGTTCTTTATTTTTATGTTATACCAAAGCATCTTTATGCTGAACTTGAAGGATTACCTTCAATGTATTACCTGGTTGTCTGCCATTAACTCTCTCAATGACAGTAATTCAAACTGATTGTAACTGTGATACTTTAGCACTTCAATGATTTACTAGGTAATTTTTTCCAATGATACCCTAGGTATAAGTTGTATCCTTTTAGGGAGAAATCTAAGCTTATAGCAGATCAAAGTTTATGGCTTTACCAAGCCTCAAGCTGTGGCTAGCACAACTATGAATAGTTTAGACTGGACAACCATTTCCCCGTGACCAGGCTATTACAAACCCTTGTACCCACTCACTAATACTACCAAATAAAACACCACACACTAGACAACATCAGAACTTTATTTTCTTACAATCCTGTAAGCTAGAAATCCCAGATCCAGGTGCAAGCAGGTTGGGCCTCACAGGTCCCTTCCTCTGTGTATAATTATTCTCAGTGTCTGTTTATCTTCATATAAGCAGACCTGTGGGATCACATCCCCATCCAAACCACCTCATTTTACCTAGCTCTTTAAAGACCTATCTTGAAATACGATTACATTCTGAGGTACTCGGATTGGGAACTGTGCATATGAATTTGGGGGTGAAGGGACACAACTAAGCCCATAATAAACCTCTATCAACCTAGCTTTCCACTATCTGTCCATCTAGTACACAGGTACTTACCAAACGCAAATCTAATCATTTACATCACACTTGTAATTTGCTAAAAACTCTTCAGAAACACTCTGCTGCCCTAGAGACAGAGACCAAATACTCTAGGTGACTTTCAATCCTACTTATGATACGTGTAACTCATTGAGTTGTCGTCTAACTACATCCTTCTTACATTCTAGGCTACAGTGACAGTGTATTCTGCCATTCTATATTCACAACAGATACTCAGAATTCAAATTTTTTATAAAACTGCTATCCTATCCAGAGACACCATGTACATAAAAGGTTGTGTATGAGTTATGGGAAAAGTTTTATTATTCTTTCACAGGCATTGTACTGGTTTTACCCTCTACTGATTTTAACACAGTAAGAAAATGTAGAAAATCTGATGTGGACTTTTGTCAGAGAATAAATTATTACAAACTACATATTTCAATAAATTTGAAATGAAATGAAATCAAGCTGAAGGCAATTTAAAGTTTTCTTTAAAAATCACACCATAGGGGATACTTTTGATACTGATGTTTCTTTCCCATTATTCTTATTACCTGTTGAGCTCATCCAGACATAAGCGCAGCGTTTCATACGTTGTTAGAGCAATTTCACATTTCCTTTGCCTTACACGAATCAATTCATTGTCTTTTTTGTTACCATGCACAATAGTGACTCTGAAATATCCCCAGGTATCCAATTCATCCTTCCAGTTGTAGAGGACAGAAAGAGGTGCAACTATTAAAAACATCTAAAAAGAAAAAAAATTTTTTGATGATTCTTAGAAATTAAAAAGAACTACCACGTGAAATCTAGAAAACTACCAGTCTTATTTTTAGATGCTGATAGTGTGGTTAATAAGAATAAATACAAATTAGTACTTGACTATATTTGGTCATAGAAGGCTATCAAAAATTACTTTGTTGCTTAGTTTTTTATTAGGATTAATATTAGGTAATCACATTCACAGGATCAATTATTTTTTATTCTCACTCCCCAAAACAACTGAAAGATTCATCATGTTTCTCACTTCTGAGACGAAATACTTAACACACAAAGTTAAAGGAGGAAGTTTATAGAGTTTCAGTTTATAGTTCAGCTCTAGAGGTTTCAGTCCATAATCAGCGGGCTCCATGGCACACAGGCATTGCAGAGGAGAAACAGTTCATGGTAGGTAGAAGGTGGCAAAGCAAGCAAGAAGTGCAAGACCAAGCCTCTTGCTGTTCCTCATACCACATCCAGGCTATCGAGATTAAGGTGGTGCCAAACTAATCAGTGGACTGATTTAGTAATCACACATCCTTAATCCCAGCATCACACACTTTACATTCAGCTGCCTCTGTATAAGCCCTACCTATAACTGCGGGAGGCTTTGAAGGGACATCTACAAGCCATCACATTCCACCCCAGTTCTCCAAAGACTCATGTACACTGCGCTTTACACAAAAGCCATTTAGTCCATTTCTTCTCTAAGCATTGCCAGGTCCTAATAATTTCAACAATGCTTAAAAGTCTAGATCCCAAGTCTCCTCTGAGATTTAAGGCAAATTCTTAGCTACAGGGCCCTATACAAATGAAAAGTAAACACTTCCAACATTCAATGGCACAAGATAAACACTACCATTGTATAAGGTACAATAAAGAGACACAAAAGAACTGGACCAAAGCAAGTCCAAAATCCACCAGGGCGAGCATTAAGTCCTGCAGTTTCATGTCCAGCATCCCTGGCAATCTCTGACAAGCTGTGAATTTGCAAGAGCTCAGGTGGCTTCGCCCTATGGCACTGAGAGTAGTTACAGCTCCCATGGCTTCTCTCTTAGGCTGGCTCAGATCCCTCACTGAAGTTCTATCAAATAATCTACATTCTTGGCTTCTCCAAACTATTGAGGTCTCTACTGCACCTTGGGCTTCACACAATGGTCCCTCAGGGGCAAGCTCTCTGGCTTCCCAGGTCGGCTTCTGAAATCTTGGTGGAAGACTTTCTCGTAGGGAATCAACCCCCATTAAGTGCCTGTTAGGGTGCCACTCATAGGAACCCAATCTTACCCAGTCAAGTACTTGTTCAGGCACCCTAGTAGGGACCGAGTTTACTATTTGTCCCTGAGGGAGGCAGGGACAGGATATGATGAGGGTGAAAGACAAAAGGACACAGTTAGTTTAGAATGTGGGAGATAGGAGTCTGTTATCAGTGGACAAAGAGCCCTGAGTGTCTGGCTAACCTTGCTTTTATTCACTTTGACACAAGCAATCAGGGCACACAAGATTCATCTTCTTTCTGTTATCTGAAGTACATGCCCAGGTAAATAACTGGTTCACAGCTGTGTTGACCCTTACCTAGAACCTACAATATGTCAGCATGTCTGAATATCACCTTTCCCCTTCATGCTCACAGAGGTCATTTAGGCCTCAATTCTTATTATCTGGTCTCCCACACTTCCCAACTCCACAACTCTTGCTTTCAGGATACACTTAGAACCAGCACCATGTGGATGATGCCAAGGCTTTACAAACCTAGAATAAAGGTTGTAGAAACTGTCCCTAATCTTGTCCTTATGATTAGCTTTCCCTTTTTTATGCAGTTCAGGCTGGCCTTGGGCTTACTTTGTAGCCCAGACTGGTCTTGAATAGCTTTTACTTTTTACTGGACCACTTCCATTTATAAGCAAATATAGTATTTCCCAGGGTTAAAAGAAGCAAACAATTCAAAAAGCAAAATAAAACAACAAAAATAATCTTCTGCATCTCTGTACCTCTCTCCAGGTATCATGCAATTAATCTACTCTCTTTATAGCAATGATGCTCAAGAATTATCAGTTATCAATATTATTTTGACTATCTTCCTGTTCTCTTGAACTCACGAGTAGGACTTCTGCCCTAATGCCTCCGCTGTAGTTTGAATGTTTTCCAAAGGTTTGTATGTTAAGGCCTTGGTCTCTACCCTGTGGCATGCCTGGAAGGTGGAAGAACCTGTAAGAGGTGGGGCTAGTAAAAGGAAGCTGTATCTTGGTGTTACCCTTGGAGATTCCTGGCATCTCCTTCTCTTTCACTTTGTAATAGCCTTGAAGTGAGCAGCTTCCCTGTATCTCACTCTAGGTCGAAAAGGCAGCAGGCCAACTGACCAGGAATATACCCTCCTCCTTATAAGTTTTTATCCTAGATATTTTGTTATAGCAATGAGAAGCTAACTCATGCAGCCTTCAAACAAAACAGTCCTTATTAAAAGTACTAGTATAATTATTTAATTTTTGTAAGAATTCTTTGGGGTTCCACTGAACAATTTTCTGTAGTAACCCTGAAAACTGCTGCCATTTTAATGTTTTTATTTCTCATTATTACTAATACTGCTAACCTGTTATGTATAACAGAGTTAACAGTAAGTTTGTTTTCTAAAGTTTTATACTTGTCCTACGGGACAGAGATGAACTAATTAAACATGGTGAAAATTTTCCAACACACTGCTAAATCCTGCCCTTTTTTCTGAGAAACATTTCGTCTATTTTTTCAGCCATTTTTTTCACCAGGACAAAGTCAAATCTATGACTGTGTTTTGAAAAGAAAGAAGAAAACAAAGATTAATCTACTGAATGTGAGAGTTCCTTTTCCCTACCCTACTATGAAATGTGTCCAAGTACTTTCTTGTCCTACTTGGTTCACTTAAATACTTGGCTCTTTGGAGTTTATCACTGTGATAGTTTACCCTATGGTTCCATCTTTCTCCTACTTTTAAATATAAAACCAGGACAAATATAGTGTCTCCCTTTGAAATTTTGTATATTAAAGATGAAATTGGTGGGTCCAAATTCCATCTGGGTACTCTCAGTAGGTTTCCAAAATTCCAGTAGTACCTACTATACAACTGCAATACCAAGAATTTATCCTACAATTATAACTGCAAAGTTGCCAAGATATATACGTAATGATGTGCATTGTTGAAATTAGTGGTTTACGAAGGAATAGATTTGTTATAGGACACATACATTTATAGGAGTATTTTATAATATTCACCCACAAAGTTAAATGCCAAAGAGTGCAAGATTGCTGTCTGTAGAATAGAAACCCAAAGAATCCAGCTGAGGGCCTGGATCCCACAGGAAGGTCCTGCACAAGTGCAGCCAGGGGCCTGCATCCCACAGCAGTGTCTCATGCAACTCTGTATCTAGTATCCACAATAGGAAGATCCTTACAATAGACAAGAGTAAAATCAAATTTGTTGGCAATCCTGTGTAAGATCTGCTGAAAAGAGGCTGTACTTTAAAACTTGCGATAGAGTTCAGTATCATGGGGCTGGGGATTTAGCTCAGCGGCATAAGCTCCTGCCTTGCAAGCAGGCAGTCATGAGTTCGATCCCCAGTACCGATAAAAAAGAAAAAGACAGAAAAAAAAAAAAAAAAAAAAAGAGTTCAGTATCATAATAAAATAATGAGTTGCAAAAAAAGCACTTCATCTTTATTCCTATCCAGTCTCCTGGATGCTGAAGGTAATATAAAAGACATGTAAGTATAATGTACGGTTTTTGGATAACATGTTTTATTAGAAATCTCTTTTTATAAGAATCACATATATAGGGTCTATCAAAAAAAACTGTATATATAATTCAGGAAAAGAAAACTAGTATGATGTTTTTTTCAGCAAATCGGGTTACCCTCACCCTAGAGGATATCCTTTTTGCAGAAACTCATTACAATGGTGACCCTTACAGAAGAAATTGAAAATGCATGTATTGTAATTTCAATGACCAAGGTTACCTGAGCAGCAGTTTGCCATACTAATAAATGACTGGAATCCAGTGGCTACCACTTAAGAGCACCTCTTGTAATTGCAGAAGCTAAAGATAACTTGAATTAAACTCAATGTTTCAATAAATCTAACATTAAAATATTTATCCAAGTTTTTCTTTTCCTGAAGTATGTATACATTTTTGGTGGGTTTTATATTTATAAGCGTAAGTTCATGAAGCTAAAATATGCATAATAATAGGACTCAGTCACATGGTAAAAGCAAAGACATCAAGTCTTTCTAATTTCAACTTTCTCAAACATGTAAAATTTGTTTCTTAATTTCAACGATTTAGTTGCTAAGCAACTTTAAATATTAATGAAACACCTTTGCTGCTAGTATCTGCACCTATCTTTTCCTTCTCACATCTATAAAAACAACCTAAAGAAGTTTTGAACTAACTTTACATGTACACCCATGGAAGTTTAACAAACTGATCAGAGCAAATCATGTAAATCCAGTCTAACAACAGAATGACACTCCAAAACAAGCTGAAGCTGAAATTGTATTTTGCCATTCTGGAGACAATTTAACTAGTGGATGAAATTAGTCATCCTTCAAAAATTAGGACTATGATATAAATATTCTAATGTCATTAAGCTCTTATGTTTTAAAAACTTATACTATGTGGTATTAGATGCTTCTTGGGGAACCATCTCAGACTGCCTTCAAAGCCCGGGGACATGAGGACACCTGAGGACATGACTTTACTTGTCTAGCACAGGTGCACAGTGGGATACAACTATGTAACTGTGACGTAGCACAGGTAAACACTCATGCGCTGTGAGGTAAACACTGAGCACCATATGAGAATGTAAACATGAGACAACCACCAGTATAAGAATTATACAATGAAAAAAAAAAAAGAATTATAGAATGAAGATGCAGGCGGCTCTTGTACTCTCTCTGCTCTGCTTCATGCTGCCTGCTGCTGTTGCTGATGTCTTGCACTCGGGTGTTTATTAATCTGGGGATCTATGACCATTAATCTGGGGATTCCACCTATGAAAATCTGCCCTCGAGCAGGCAGACAAATACCATCTTCATAAGTTGAGTATGTGTAGATACTTTACCTTTTTTATTGTAGACGAAGTGGGTTCTTTTTTCACACGTCTTAGTAAAAACTCTGGCATGTTATTTTCAATATCTTCACGAGTTCCCTTTTTATGCAAAACTGCAGCCAAAAATGAAATAACCTGAGGGGAAAAACTGTTTCAATCATTGTTTATAAAGTATCATGATATATAAAATTTCACTCTTGTATGACTACCCAGTAAGTGATAAAATAAGTAAAAAAATATTTTAGGAATAAAAATATAGGGCTAGGGATATTGCTCAGTGGTGCAGCATCTGCCTGGCAAGTATGAAAAGTTCAATTCCCAGTACCAAAAACAAAACACACTGAGGATTAAAAATAACACAAAATATTAGTGCTAATTTTAATTTTTGTGTTACCAAATAAATGTGTAATAGTACATTATCTGTGAGCACATTAAAAAGAAAACCTTCACATTACAAGCTATGTAGTCAATGAATTCTTTCTTAATTCTGTCAGTTGGACCATTGCCTTCTGATTTGTTTGTATTCCTGGAAACTATCTCTACATATTCTTTATTAAAATAAAATACACATATTCTTTCCTTAAAGGGAGTAATATATGATCATAAATTTGTGCATTTCTGTTTATCTAATAAATATAGGTGGGAAGATAAAATGTTATCTTAATATAGTCTAATATAATTGATCACTATGCCCACCAATTTGAATAACAGTTGTTTAGCAAAAATCAAATAAGAAAGAAAAAGAACATGTAGCCACATATAATGAACAGCAAGAAATATTGCATCAAATAAGATTTTGGTTCAAATTTTAGCTTTGACTGCTAGACAACTATATGAACTTGGGGAAATAGCCTCCCTGAATAACATCTATAAAAATGGTAAAAAACAATATTGATTTTACATGTAGAGGATGAAATAATTTCATCCCAACAAATGAGACACTTTTGATGAAATGGAGAAATAGAACTTACCAAAATTGATGTAAAAAGAAATAAAATTTATATTCTCATTTATCCATAAAAGAAAACTGAGTACATACTTATAAGCTTTACACAAAGAAAATTAAGGTCTAGATGGTTTTACTGACAGAGTGATCTAATGCTTCAGAAAAATATTATACCAATCTTAAAATGCCAATACATGTATTCAAGGAAAGCTGACAAACCAATCAAAACTTTGGAAATGGAAAGTTAACAAACCAATCAAAACTTTGGAAATGAAACTGGCCAAAAAAGTTATCATAAAAGGAATATAAAGAAATGATCAAGCTGGGCCTTTAGCTCAGTGGCCTAAGCATCTGTCTGGCAAGTGCAAGGTCATGAATTTGATCCCCAGTACCAAAAAAAAAAAAAAAAAAAGGATCATAAATATAAGAACAGTCAAGTTGAACAATGGTACAGGATGAAACGACCATAAACAGATCCACTCACATCTGGACACTTTACTTATAGTAGAAGTAGCACAGCAAAATGGTAGAAATAATCTTCAATAAAAAGTAGGACAACTAGGCATCCAAAGGAAAAGGTTGCCTTCCTACCTATGTCATAGCATGCACATACACATGGGCGCGTGCGTGCGCGTGTGCACACACACACACACACACACAATCAGTGTCAGGGAAGAGGCAAACCTAAAGGTGAAAGTCAAAAGAGTAAAGTGATGACAAGAGGGAACATCTTAATGACTCAGGGTACAGAAAGACTTCTTAGACAGAACCCTAAAAATGCTAACCATGAAAGAAAAGACTGATGACCTCTAAATTAAGCACTGTCCTTAAAAAGTATACTGGGAAATGGAAAAGATGAAACCTTCTATCGTTTAATGTCTCTGGAAGGCAGGTTGACAGTCTCCACCAAACTTCAAGACACAAACACATTTGACTTAGAAATTTGACTATCCTACATATATTTGCTATTTGTCATTAAACAGACAAAAGCCCTCTCCCTAAAGGAATGGTTAAATAAATTACAGAATATCTATTCTATCAAATGTAGTAATTTAAATGAATTGTCAATCTTTATGCAGAGATACAGAAAGTTCTCCAGGATTTACACTTACGTGAAATTACAAAGAGGCAGAATAACATATAGGAAGAATGACTCAGTTTCATTTATTAATATATACACATTCATTAAAATTAGCATTTATTTGACAAAATAAGAAACAAGATTGTACCTCATAAAAATTAACTGTGTGTTCAATTATAGTATTAAGAAAGTGAAGACAAAATATAGAATGGTAAACAGTATTTATAAATCATATATCTGATAAGGGTTTAGTATCTAAAGCATACAAAGAAGTACTATGACTGGATAATAAAAAAAAGACCAATTAAAAAAATGATAAAGGACTTGAACACACTTTCTCCAAAAAAAGATAAGATAGATATACAAAATGCCTATGAAAATACATTTAACAGTACTGGTAATTACAAAATAAATACAACTCATATGCACAAAAAGATACTATTCACGGTACTAGAACAGATATAATGAAAAATAGAAAATAAGTGTTCACAATGATGTGAAGAAACAAGAAACCTTGTACTGTACATTATTGGTGGAAACACAAAATGATATCATTACTATGGGAAATGGTATGGCAGTTCCTGAAAAGATAAAAAGAAAGTATTGCTGTACCATCCAGCAATTCTACAGCTAGATAATATACATGAGAACTGAACATATGTCCTCAGAGAAACTTGGACACTAATATTTTATGGAAGCATTATTCCACATGACAAAGGTTAAAACAGCCTAAATGATAAAACCTATTACATACAATGTAATATTACTCATTCATATAAAAGATAAAGGAATTAAGTACTCATACATGGTATAATTTGGATAAATCTCAAAAATATCACAGTGATAGAAGCCAGACATTAAAACTCAGGCATTATATGATCCCTTTTATATGAAATATTTAGAATAGTCAAGTCCTTGAGAGAGAAGAAAAATCAAGGTTGTCAGAGGAAGAGGAAATGAAAAGTGGTACTCTTTTGTGGGGGAGCCACTGGGAACTGAACACAAAGGCTTCAGTTCTACACCGTGCACATGCTATAGGACTACAGTGTCCCAGTCCTTTACTTCTGTATTTTTCAGACAGGGTCTTGCTAAGTCACTAAGTTGCCCAGGCCAGCATTAGCTCCTCTGCTTCAGCCTCCCCAAATGCTGAGATCACAAGCATGCATCACTGCCTATGGAGTAGTCCTCTGTTTTGATGTAAAAAGCTTGAAACTAGAGAGGTGCACTGTGTATGCACTAAATGCATTAAATGTGTCTTTAAAATGGATTCCACCTAACTAAATATGATAGGTGGCATGTTTATAAGAATGTGTTAGTGTACTAAGGTATAATCCAAATTGTTTTTCTTAAAAGGGTAAAAATTGTATACACAGTGTCAAGCTAGTACATATTAATGATTTAATAAATAGTATCTATTTTTGTGGCATCTTCCCTTAAAGGAAGTTTTGTCCCTTATACATACTTTCTATATTCCAAAAAAGTAGATTTTGAGAAAATTATGTTGTAAAAAAGATCATAAAATAATGATTTACAAGAATGGTCAAAACCTGTCTTGAGCTTTAAAATATTCTCTAAAAACGTTGCATCTTAACTGGCAGAAGTTACGTGAAACTTTGAAGTCTGACCAACAAGGTTTATATCAGCTATAAGACTAAGGCAATTTACATAAATAGCCTCTAGAAATTTCAATTTTTTAGCCAATAAAATGGAGGCAATGGTGTCTAATTAACAGATGTTTAATGGCAAATGCCTATCTTAGCCACTTTCTCTTCACTGAGCTACAAAGCCTGACACCATGGCTTCATGAGAGGTTTACTTTGGCTCAGCTTCAATCCATGGTATTCAGGCTCCAAGACAGCAGTGGCATCGTGAGAGAGGAAAGCTGCTCCAGTCATGGCAGCCAGGAAGAAGGGACGGAGGAGGAGGCAGGAAGGGAGAGGCACCCTTCAGGTCACACCCTCAGTGTGTTCTCTTTTCATCAAGCCCACCGGCTACCCACACATTCAGCCCCTCAAAGCTTCAGTCACCTCTGGACACATGAGACTCCTGAGGGACAGTTTAGATCAATGTCTAGCATAAAGCTTGGCAGAGAGAGTGAGTTAAATATAATCTATACCCACAGAACCACATCCTTACCGAATTCAACTTACAAGTCACTAATAGATTGAAAAAAAAGTTTATTCCCTACCCCATGACTGGCACTGTGCTGGGTGCTGGAATAGTCTACCTGACAGGCTATTTTGACTTCCCAGTAATGCGAAATCCAGCAGAGCTGGGAGTGAGGAACAGAAGGATGATTAGGAGATGTACTGTAAGAAGCATAGTTAAGGAAACAGAAGGAAATGAACAGAAAATAAAGTCATTAAAGAAATCTGGAGAAAGATTAAGGTGAGCATTAATCTGGTACTGAATACAAATTAGAGGACACAGCATATCTATAATCCCAGAACACTGAGAGGCTGAGACAGAAGGATTACAAATTCAAGCCCAGCCTGGACAATGCAGCAAGCTCCTATCTCAAAAAAGGGGAAGGAACCTGGGGGTATATTCTAGTGTGAAGTCCCTGAGTTCAATCCCTATGCCACACAAGAAAAGAGCAAATGATTGACTTGGAGCATTGCACAATTTAAAAAATTTAACATCACCTAAGTGAAAGATCTTTGATGCATGCCTAGAATTTACACTTTACAAGTGTTTTAGTCAGTTAAGCTTAAAGGTATTTATGTGTTGTGTTCAAAAATATGTAATGTGAGTTTAGCATACACTGAATTTCTCAATGATATAAATATTCAAAATATTTCAGGTTACTTCTTCAAATATTTAATATTGAATTACAACAAATCTATAAATAAAAGTTCAGGTAACTAGGGTATTCCCTGGAAAGGAAGATGTGGAACTTTCTAGGGTAATAAATATATTCGGCACCCTGATGAGCATTACTGGTTACTCAGGCACCCATATCCATCAAAATTCACTGAAATATAATTAAGATCTATAAACTTTATTGTTAGTAATTATTCCTTAAAGAGACACACACATTAATATATATATATATACACATATATAATTGTATACATGTATTACTTTTAATTTTAGATAACTAGTCAT